CATTATTTACTAGAATATGTTAAAGAATAGGAAGTGACGACAGGGATTTATTTCTTTGCTTTTTATCATTTGTTATGAAAAAATTATATGACTTTCAGTTAAGAAATTCAAATTATTCAGTAGGTAGGTACTAGTGAATCACCCATTCCCAATACAAACTTATTTCCCCATTCTCAACCCCTTACGATATGATTTCGGTATAAAAAGTTCCCAGAGTCTCAAACTATCTTCTTACCAAATTTCATCTAAATCGGTTCAGTAGATCCAGAGATTATTCCTACAACCTCACAAACTCACAAACTTTACCTCTTTATAATATTAGTATAAAATATAAATTTAATTACTAATATTTTTAACTGAATATCATGTTCGTAAATAAAAGGCCTCAGTCCTGAGAAGAACTGGCGAAAGAATCTTAAGGAAAAAATTACCTATAAGTTTTTATATATAAATATTATCATGTGCCATATATAACTTCTCCATTGAATTAGTTTATCGTTGACATAACCCATATCCGTTATGACTATTGTCGTATTGTAGGTGATTAGTGTCAATAAATTTAATTCAATATGCAGCGTGCTGTCGGTATGTCAGTGGCTGTAAATAAAATGTACTCAATTCATAGTATTAGTGAATAAATATACACTATAATATAATTTAATAACTAATAATGTTTGTTTTTGTTTTTAATTTGTTCATTTGTAGAAACAACTACATAATAACTGACCTAAGGTGATAAGTGATAACTGACTTCGTTCGATTTCTGTTAGCTTCAAAACATATTGCTTTTTAATCAAGGTTAAGTTTTGTTTTGACATATATGATATACCTATTCTATTGGTAAGATTATACATACATAAGCGACGTGCCAGAGTGTGTCTCGAAATTTCTAAAATAAATCTATCTTCTACACGCCCGGCAATCATTTTTCTTCGTTAGATACTTTTTAGTAAAATAACACATCCTCAAGCTTGTTTTTTTTTATAATTTACCTATACGGGATAAATTAAAAGTAAAACTATGAAGAGAATGTTTATCTAACAAACAATAAGAAGTTGGGTATATTTACGCACGCAAATTTTACATTGCGTCGTTCAAAAACATGTTCTTCAACTTTCTTCTTCGTTATCGCTTATGGAAAAAAGATTATGTAGTTTAAATTGAAATTTGGCTTTCTAAATGTCATCTTGTAACTGCTAATTATGTAACATTTTATATAATGAAATTTGTACCTTTAAAATTAATATTCTTAGAGAATTAATAAATATTTTGTATACCTGTATTCAGCCCTTTTTAACGTCCAACTGCTGGGCACGGGCCTCCCTTCAATATAGAGGGATCAGGCCATTGTCCACCACGCTGGCCAAGTGCGCGTTGGCGGACTGCACATGTCTTTCGAAATTATGCTAGATTCTCCAAGGCATACAGTTTTCCTGACGATGTTTTTCTTTACCGTAAGACAAGTAGTATCATTTTAGGAATTTGCATATCAAAATATCAGAGGTGCGAGACACGGGATTTGAACCCGCTTCCTTTTGATTTTTCAAGCAAGCACGTTACCACTGCCTGTGTACATTGGTATACCTACATAAATATATTTATTACTATGTAACTGTTATAAAATAATGACAAAAGAGGGTGGCAGTTATCAGCACACTAAAAAGCCATATGGCATAACTTACGTCACTAAACGCAATGACTATACCAGAAGTGTTATTGAAATTTAATTGAGGAGACGACAATTCTCAATACTATGTTTGAAACAACTGCTTCATTCGCATAAATTGACATAATATTGCAAAGACGCTACTACAGCTTAACAAGTAGGAATTGCTTTGTTACATATTTATACAATAATAGAAATACAATAATCAAAACATATATTTTGTTAGTATGTTTAAGTTATAAAAGTGTTATAATTTATTTTTCATTCTTGTGCGATTAAGATTAGATATAGATAAGATTATTATAAAATAGATTATAGCCTCGAAAAACACACAGGCTACTTTTTATGCCGAAAAAGTTTGGGTTTCCGTGGGATAGGTTTGTTTTTGTTTGCCTAGAGGTGAACCCAAGCGAAACGAGGGTGAGGCGCTAGTTATTAATAATTAAATTTTCAAAAATAACTTTGAAAACATCATTAACACAAAAGTGCTTGCAAATTGGTTACAACACAACTGCAGTGAATATATAAATCTAATGAACTGTAGTCTCGTAGTCTCTAGACACTTTATCTAGAAAAAATCTAAGTCAGGTACGCACTTGCAGACGGCATGCATGTCAAGATGCGCTACTCACTCATTAGGAGCTTTCTTCTCCGTTACAACTGAGAAAAAACAAAAGCTAACGTGCTTTACATGGGAAAGCTTTCCAGTTAATTAATTGTGCCATTATTTTTTTTAAATAACGTTAGATTTAAATCGTTAAAAACATTTTAGTTTCTTAGACATAACAAAATTATTGAGTACTTTGTAACCATCGTGTAACTTACAAAAATATCTTATATATATAAAAGAAAGTCGTGTTAGTTACACTATTTATAACTCAAGAACTGCTGAACCGATTTGGCTGAAAATTAGTGGGGAGGTAGTTTAGAACCAGGAGACAGATATAGGATACTTTTTATCCCGTTCGATTGCGTGTCCGTTGTGACGTGACATAAAACTCAAGAACGGCTAGATATTTGAATTTTTGGATTTCTTAGTTAGTCCGGAATAGGATAATAAATATTAAAACATCAGAAAAATTTAGGAAAAAAAAAAATTGTATGGCTAACGCTGGCTAATAACAATTTATATCTATTTAAAACGTACCTAGCGACGAACCCGAGCGAAGCGAGGGTGAGCCGCTAGTATAGTAATATAATATTTCATTAAAGTAGAAGTAAGTAAATTATTATAAACATTCTAATTAATATTTTCAAGTAGGCACCATAGTTAAATCTGGGAGACTGCTTAAGGCAAAATGCGTATTTGCAGAGCACTTCTTAAAGATAAGCTTAAACTTTCTCGGCTGCTACTTCAAAAGGTCATCGCATATATCAATGTTTATAATTAGGCGATATCCAAAAGTCGCAAAACGAGGTTGCGATAAATCAGTATTTTACTTCGTCAACATTCATTTTTATAAGGCACTAGCATTTCTTCGAAATAATTTACGCGTCAATATTTTTCGATTCTCATAACTCACTGAATATCAAAACCAACATTAAATTTAATTATAAACTTTATTTCAACGTAATAAGGTTTGTCGATGATTCAACCTTTAACATTATCATTTAAAAAGTAGGTATGTATTGAATTAAATAGTCCCTTTAGTTTCGTAATGCTAAAGTAGGCAATGTTGATATTTGAGACCTTGAATCCAATATAATACCCATCAAGCAATTCTCCAGAGCAAATAAGCGATTTAACTGCGTGCTCCTCCTGTCATCGTTATTGATATAAACTAAACACTTGCATCGTCTGATTCTGATAAAACTACGAAGTCCGTTCTACTTGCATGTAATATGAAGTGACACATTCCTCAATTGAGCCGTGACGTGCCGGTATCTCAAATTGACGCCAATTTGCGTCTCCGGCTGAGTCACGGGGAGCTCGTTGTTTTGTGCCGGGTTCCTACATAGCTTGCTTTACTTCGAGATTTGCGTATTATAATATCCCATACCATACTCCTGGTATTCATGCAATCCGTAAATAAACGTGCCGTTATGCATCCGTTGGTTACCAGACCTGTATCCTGAAGAATTCCTTCGTGAAATTTAATGAAAAATAACCAAAAGTCAGATCTAATAATTATTTTTTGTATTAAGAGTATTGATATATTTTTTTTGTATAATCGTGCTTTACGTATACCTATCTTTTACAGAAAAAACTAATGTGGTATGTGGTAGCGACTTATTACTTTATTTTTCGCTTAGTTGCGAACTCGTGTATTGTACAATGGTGGATCCCTTAACGTCTATTTTCATAAAAATTAGTTAATTTAAATCGTTCTGGCCCTTTTTAATAAAAACTTTTTTATACATGTACTCGTACGATAGACGTAAATACAATATAGCCTCAGTTTAATGTTATAATCAAAGAGCAGAAAATAGAAGTGCCTACAAATAAAAAGTACCATCATCCTTGGCCGACCTTGTACGCAAATAATTGGGAGATTGACGCAATTGCGCAGTTCCCAGCCTCACGGGAAATACTGCGTGAATTATTTCAAATCATATTTGTGGTTTCAATGCTGCGCACGGTCAGGGCTACAAGGCCTTCTGGTACAATAAATTACATCTAAAGCAATATATCCTAAATATAATTCTAAACAATATCATAAATACTATGTAAGACCTTATACATGTATATAAATATTTGTCTATTATAGTACCAAGAAACCTGGGATAATATTTCTTTTTCAACGTCTTCACTACGCTTTAGCCCTCACGGACCCATTCACATTCTATTAGTAAGAATAACAAAGGCTTAAAAATATATATATGTAGAGATTAAAAATAATAAATTATTAACATCTTAAAAATGGTCAGGATTATAAATACCATTGACATAAATCTGACTGACGCTGGCGAGACTTTTAGTGTAGAGCTCAATAAATTATACGATATATTGCCAATGAAAATTAAAATAAACCTAGTGATAATCTTGTTCATAGGGATTGTTTTCTAAACCGGTCTTAAATTTTACTTAATCGACTTTTTTATACCGACAAGCATCAGTACCGATGCTATAGGTATTAGTAATATTAAACGTATTAGCAATTAACCATTAGTGATCCTGTAATCCTCAAAGTGAGTCCCCATTTTTATCGGATGTGTGGAACTTTATTTATTTTTTTAATTAACTTTATCAGTGTTTAAAAAATAGTGAGTTAAGTACCTAGTATATAAGAACTGATATTTAAAAAAATTATAAATGTAAAGAAGGCTTTATATACACATATGTTCTTTCTCATATTAATAAATTACTGTAATTCATTTATTTACTTTGTTCCAGAATGTGGTGGACTATCACTGGTAACTTCGGGAACATTCTACCGATAGACTGGACAAAATCTTTCTCAAGAAAAATGCACATTCCCACATTAAACCTGAGCGACAAAAAGGTAACATTCATCTTAATTGTATAATGTTTTCAAGAGAATAAACATAAATTTAAGTATCACTAATGTCCAAAGCTTAATATCGTATAAAGTTATAGCTGAAAATAATACTTAAAATAAATATTATCTGTTTATTTTACTTAATTTTTAACAGGGAATATATTTATTTTACTTTATAATAAATATGAAAAAATATTTTTTTACATTTTAAAATATAAGACTGTGTAGATGATTCATGACTGTCCCAATTCCGTTCAGTATATTAAAATCTAAGGCCACCCGCCTGCTTGTTACATTTGCAATTCATATAACATTGGAACATATCATACTGTATAAAACAGGTCAACAGGACCGTCTTCGTCACGTATTGTTAACAAATAATTGTGTATAAGTTTAATAAGTACCTATTTGTGAATAAATGCTTTACATACCTACTGCTAAATGTATTTTTTTCGTGGAATTTCGATTTATCATACCACTATGTCGATATTGGCAATTAAAAAGTATAAGATTCTTTTTAAAAATGGTAAAATATTGTCGCTTATTGATTTTCATTTATTCCCAACGACACATTATACTTATTCAAAGTAGTACATATGAGTACTCCTTTAAATAAAATAACGCATAATAAGAGCAGTACTGAAGCCTGTTCACTCTCGACTTTTTTGTTTTTTCTCACAATAATGAGCTATTGCAAAAAAGAAAACAATTTGTAGCTGGACTTCATTCATGAGAAAAAACTTTTCGTCCATTGTTGCATAAAGGTAGCAAAGTTCACGAACCTTCAAACAGCGTTTTAATGAAGCCATTCTCATTCCAGTTGTATGCGAAATGTGCTATTTTACATAAAAGTAATTTGGGTCTTTAGGCAAGATTTTTAATTAAGACCGTTTCATAAATTCCTTTAAAAATCGCAACGAACTGACAAAATATGACACAGGACTTAACTGAACTTATCGCAGAACACTTCCATACTTACTTATTTATATTTCACTTCTTCTTAGTAGATAGATGTATAACAAAAAAAATGCTTTTTATATGCAAAATCGCTAAAGTTTGTCGTGATGCAGCGGCAACGCGGGGTGGACCGAGCGACGCGGCGGCCTCTCGTAAGTAGGAACCCTTTAGGCCCAGCTCGCACTCTACCGCTTGTTTTGTTTTATCCTTTTATACCCCACTTGTTTTTCAATTCTATCCTCTTAGGACGTTTTTCTGAAGCAAATTATTTTTTAATAAAATTTAATAAATTGTTCGTTTAGGGCGCAATGACACCAGACGATGAGATACATAGCTCTGAAGACGAAGCCGTGGCATCAGATTTGGACATGCACGCTCTGATTTTGGGCGGCCTGCATCAAGATCATGAGTGTCCGGTTAAGACGGCCGATGAGGTAACCAGAATATTTAATATACTGTATTTCATTTATCTAGACATCACTCTAAAGCTTAACATAGAGTTGTATAACTGTTGTTGGAAGATAATTTTTTTTTAAACATTGTTCAAAGAATATTTTAAATGTAAAAGATGCTACATCAAGAGTGTTTAGAATATTTGTCTCCTTGTTTACCTTTTTATCGCGTATCAATCGAAAAATATTTCCATAGATAATTTAGGAGAGTTGAAGGTCTAAATTCACGGACTAGGCTGCACTGATCGTTATTGTAAATATTAGAATTATACTCCAATTAATTTTTCATTATAATTATAAAGTGTGAAGTATAATAAGTTTATAGTTTTGCAAACTGCTCGGATCGATGACATAAGAATGACGTTAATTTCGGAGAAATACATTACCAATTTGGCAAGACGACTGCGCCCGTCCTCCAATGCCGGCCTACACATGCTTTGTTTCATACTTAGATTTATTTATTGGCTCATTTTATTAATTTAACATAAACTTATTTTATAGGTTAAATGCAAAATATAACAGCGTGAAAAAAATATGTGATTCGAAAATTCCATATATCCGAATTTTATGAAACAAAATAATGTGTATTTGTCAAAAACTGGTAACTTTAATAAATTCTCTTAATAAGCTTGCTTTTACATAACTTCTTAATATGTGAAGTTACCTCAATTATATTCCGATTAAACACATAACATATTGCAGGTGATACAAGAAATAGATGATATGATGCAAGAGACACCGTCGTCGGAAGGCGATCTGATCGAGTATAATGAGGCGTTGGAGAAAGGCAAGGAGGTTCTCAACTCACCGCTTTACGAAGATAGTAAGTACATAAGATAATGTAGTATATAGAGTTTTATAATATATTAATTTGTATATTACTGCTAAAACGTATGTTATTCCTAATTAATATTTCAATAGGCAAATAAATCTATACAATATTATAAAGAGGTAAAGTTTGTGAGTTTGTGACGTTGTAGGGGGTAATCTCTGGACCTACTGAACCGATTTAGATGAAATTCGGTAAGAAGATAGTTTGAGACCCTGGGAAGGACGTAGAATACTTTTTATCCCTGAAATCATTCCTTAAGTTGGTGAAAATGGGGATGAAAATTTATATGGGGATCAACCTAGGGCCGAACCCAAACGAAGCGAGTCAGTCGCTAGTGTTTTATATTGACGTAAATCAAAATAGTGGAAGTTATAACATTGAATTAGTAGGTCAAGCGGAACAAAACATTCATAAAAATAACAAAATGGCTTCATAAGTCTGTGCTAACACAAAGTGCTTTACGACTTGACAAACACATGACATTTTATATCGTAAAGAAACCAACGTCTTCTCAATCGTAAACATAAAACATAATGACGAGAGTAAATAAACAACAATGTAAGAAGTGTGAGATATTCGAGACGTACGATTGTTTGAAAGACAATCGACAGATTTGAATGCAGATGCGTACTTATGTTTAGAATCAAAATATAAGATGCATCATAGAAAGCTCATCCATTTAAACAAATATTAAAATAATTTGATGTAATTTGTTTACTTGTTATAGTTTTTAAATGGATACGTTGCGTAATTGAGATGATTGATTATAAAGTCTACTTTTTGTTTAAGTTTTTGTGTGCTGTAATTTAAATTCGTTCTCATCAAAAGGTTCTTGAAATTAAAAGTCGTTAAAAGACACTTTTGCATATAAGATCCGACCTGGACTAAACTTTTTAAAAACTTTTTGTATTGCTTTTTTTTCTTAATTATTAGACAAACTATGTAGACGTAAACTCGCTTATGCAAAAACAAAGGTACGATCAATGATATGCATTTAATATCGAGTTACTTGAAACGTCACCCGATCTACTTAATATAGTGAATGATAAGCAAAGTGACGATTTCTAAGAAATCATTCTATACCTAAGTATAATATGCTATAAACATATTTTTATTTTCAATATTATTAATATCTTTAAGATTCACTGTAAAAGTGACTTATATAAGTTTCAGAGGCTTAGTTTTTATGCACACAGAAATAAACTAAGGAAAGAAAAGTAAACATAGATTGTTTATGCAAAATTTATTATAATAAATTAGATGAGTCAGTGGATTAGATAGATGCTATATACAAATATGTCGTGAGAGCGTTCACCTCTCATCTCACTCGCGCGAGAGATTTTCGATTGATTTGCACATCTTTTGATCGTGGCTCCCGATTTAGAGATCAAAGTTTATCGATTTTTTTCCACAAAACTTGGCAATAGGTATTTCACCGAATATTATTTTTAACTACTTTTAAAAAACTTCATTGTTATACTAATTTCTACGATAAACATTTTACACTTTATATCTTATTTTAGTATTAAAAAGGGAAAATTTAAGCAGAACTGCCATCAATCCATATTCTTTGTCCTTTTTAAGTTTTAAACTTTTAAAATTAAAATTATATTTTCCATACATTATCATAATAAATCTATTCATCGTTCACAGAATTACGTCAGCTATCTCTCGCTCAACTGAATGAAATATTCATGGAACTAGAAGTACTTATCAGAGAGTTTTCCGAAACTCTAATAGCTGAGCTCGCGCTGAGAGACGAACTGGAATATGAGAAGGAGTTGAAGAACACTTTCATATCCCTGCTCCTGGCAGTACAGAACAAACGCAGACAGTACCACATTGAGAAGAAGAAGCGACCTGGACCTCCTAGGTCGCCTAACTTGAACACAAGTCACTCTGAATCTAAGGTACTAATGTATAAATAGGTATTTGATAAATTCTGATACACATTTTATTCTGTCAATGACAATCAATCAAATTTAGACAATAGTTGTTCAAAGAATAATTGCAAAGATAATGGTATATGTAAATCTTATTCAGCAAAAGTTTCGGCTTTTCTTTAAAACTTGGCTCTTTTGATCATTTTTTTTCGGAAATTCAAAACAAACCGCGTATTATATATATAACAAAATATGACGATGTTGTAATAATTATTTTTAAAATGTTAAACGTATCGATTACACTTGAATATATAAAAACTGGTTTATATGCATGAGCAATATCTATAATAGATGTTATCGGACACATCGGATAGTTTTACAAACGCAAGGATAGGTCTAAATTCTTATCTCATGAAATCCTTACTCTACACACATTCATTTTATAAAGCTTTATATACTAAAGTATTAAATATATTGTATGTTATTTTTTATACTTTTAACACTAATAATATTAAAGCATTATCACTTTTGTTCCAGTACTTGACCACGGTTATCCCTTTCCACTTGGACAATGGACCTCCCGACAATCAGTCTCTACAAGTTCTTATCAAGAGTAAGTATTGTGAATACACTATGTAATGTATATTATGTACTAGCGACCTAGTCTCGTTTCGCTCGCGTGTACCCTAGGTACCTTTTGTATTTACCTATACTTACAAATATTATAAAGAGGCAGAGTTTGTTTGTTTGAACGCCCTAATCTCAGGAACTACTAACTCGATTTGAAAAATTCTTTTTAAATTAGATACCTCGTTTATTGAGGAAGGCTATATGCTTTATATAATATAATATATAGAGTATCTATTCCATATTAACCGCTAAAACGGACCTAGGGACGAACCCGAGCGAAGCAAGGGTATATTATATACAAGTAGTGTGTTACTCCAGATCATAGTCTATCTGTGTGCTAAACACACGAAACTGTCCAGTCGTTTTAACATGAAGGAGTAAACTTTCACATATATATTTGAAGTGCGATGATGATGTTTATTATGATAATCGTTATTTACTATAAAAATATTTATTGTAACTAGTTTTTTAAAGCATATTTATGTTTTCATCTAATTTTTATACATTAATATTGTACATAAGCTGAATCGAAAAGAATATCTGTAATATTTTTAAATTTTATAACTATGTATACACTTTTTTATCTGTATTTTACTAATGTCCGTAGATAAACCTCGTTTTTTTATTAATATATAATATTCTTATATGACGAATGCTAGTGTATTTTTATTTATTTGTAGCTTTGATTAAATTAGGTGATATATTCTCTTAATAAATACATTAGATGTAGAACTCTACAAAATATTTAGTCAATTGCATAATATTGTACGATTGAGTTTTTATGTAAATTGTGGATAAAAATATTTTTATACTAGTGTACATAGATTATTATAAAATTATTTTCACAAAATTTTAATATAATTTTTAAATTTTCAGTCCTGAAAGCAATAAACGAAGACAGTCCCACAGTCCCTACACTGTTGACGGATTACATACTCAAGGTCTTATGTCCAACATAAACATACATACACTTAGCTAATTTCCATTATAGTTCTTTAAATAAGTACATTTTCACTTGTTAGTTTAAATAGTATTTACATAAAATCTATTACTTTAAAATTCTAATACTTGTTATTATGAATATCTATAACCTATAATAAATTTTAATTGATAACTAAAATATCCCTTAGAATTATAATATATAAAATATAATTTAACCTTTTCTTATGAACTATCTGTGTTAATCAAATTATTTCAGTGAAAGTGTACTTATTTATGGCCATTAAAAAGATTTTAAGATTTCGATGTCAGCACATTCTATTTAACATAAAGCATTTGTTTCATATCAAAACAAATATTCGCTGTGTGTATTTCAATAATATGCACGTATTTTAAAATACATTTTTAAATTAAGAAAACTAATTGGTACAGAAAATATATGTTTAACATAAAGCTCGCACTCGCAACTTGTCTATGCTCTCAGTGTTGCCATGTGTATAATATAATTATATTTTTTAAAAATCGTATCGGTATTCTAAGTGAGTATTGCCATAAAACGTATTCTCATAATTCAATTTTTTTTGGCATATTTGATTTATAATACTTTTGCATAAATGAACTGTGATATCGTATTATGGTAGTTTGTTAATTATTGCTTCTTAAGGTTTACTTATTCTGTGCTGTTTTTAATTAATGTTCATTATATTTATTTAAGAAATGAAATGATTTTAATATTTTTTTGGTAAATCGATTTTATTGTGTAAATACGAAAACAAAACCGGAATTGTCGTCTCAAGGTAATTTAGTAAATTTAGTTATTGTAAGAAGCGCTGGAGAGGCTTGTACATAGTTATCATCAGCTTTGCCTATTTATAGGTTAAGTATATTTTTATCTTAAAAGGCTTTGATATTTTTAAACAATTCAATTTAAAAATTATAAAATTATAATTGATTCTTCTTTAAGAGTAAAGATACAAAATATTGGAGTTGATAATGTTCAGTAAATAATAACTAGTTATTTTAATTTTTTTTAAGATAAGTTTAATATTGCTTTAAGTGTGATTAAGCGAATGATAAAAAAGGACAACAGTCAAAAAAGAACCCCTAACGACTAAATTCTTGTCATTTTTATTTAAAAAAAATCATCGATTTTTTAAATTTAATTTATCTTAGCAAGTAGAACGAGTATATAGAATACATGTAGTGCATTGAAAACCTCTAAAACTGGTATTTTTTCCATATTGTAAACCTCCACTGATCGCGAGCACTATGCAATATACATGTAGATTTAGGTTATAAATTAATTATTTAACATAGGTTTTACCTCTAGTCTCAACGTTTCGTAGTCATAATTTTGTTAATTTTAAAAAATATCAATTTATAAAGTAAGAGAATTCTGCAGATTCTTTATAAACTACAATGGAGATATTAAAAATTGACATGTTTAAAAAAATTACACAAAAAATCATGACAATTTTTTAGGCGCCATTGAAGCGATTCAACAAACCTATACATAAGAAATTAAATTTAAAATGCATGATAGTATGTGTAAAATTGTTGTTGTAAAATGAGAACGTTTTAAATAAATAATGAATTATGTTTGGTTCGCAAAATGTAACGGGAGGCTTACGTCGCACATTAAATTTTCGTGTAGCAACACCGATTTGTTGTATCTGTAATTCTGTAGATGAGTGAAGGAATGTTCGATGGTACCGAGATTTGCGGACGGACTGTGGACATAAAGGAATGGACTGAGGGTTGGCTTTAATATCATGCTCACTATATATGAGGCAATGTGAACTTGCTGCCAGTAAACAAACATGGAGGCTTATAACACTTGAATACTATCCATAGAGAACTTTGCTATTAAATAAAACATTTGTGTTCTGCAAAATTATCTACATTCGATAAAAAAACATGAAATTTAGCTATTACAAAACATGCTATATTTTATTTTAAAACAGCAATAAAAAAACACTTTTAACATAGACTAATACATTTTCCATAATAAGCTCTATAGAAGATTATACTTATGGATTATATTTTAGAGCGAGATAAATGCTGGTGGCATCATCGCCTTGTCTCACTTGAAAGTTGAACATTCAGTACATTCGTCTATGTCTATAAAAAAACTAAATGTAGATAAATAATGTTTAATGTTATATACATTGTTTCTTAAATAATTTCGTCCCACGATGAAGTTTTAAAAAATATGTTATATTTTACAAACATCTATAATAATTTATATTAAAAAATATAAATTTTTATCTTTTGACAAGGTTAAAAGTTTTTTAAACTTGTAGAATTCAATGTTAGTAGTCTGAAATTAAGATTTTAGGCAATTCCAACCATTTCCTTTAATATTTTTTCATCGTGGTGATACAATGTACCTTGTAGGACAACGATAAAATATTTTTAGTATTATCTACTACTCGAAATATTTTATAGATTGTTATTGTAAAGATCAATTTTAACTCAACTCTCAGAAACTGATGTGGACGTCTGGTACCTGGTCAAAATAAAGGAGCTTGAAATATAATTACATGATTTTCATTTGATTTGTTCATACTTGTATTACTAATAGATTTTGATTTTAAGTAACAATACTTGTTATAATTTAGTATATTCCAAATAACAAAGAGTTGAATTGAATAATTTAGTATACATTGTCAAAATATCTATGTAACAACATTATCAACATGAAAAAGTTCAATAAGGTAAAATATAGACTGCACGAGTTTTTTCTTCAAACAAAAATTTTAGTGCACCATATTACTGATATTTTTTATTCCTTTGTGTATTCTATTTAGCAAACGTTTCGGTTCGAGAACTAGAATATAAATTTAAAGGGTTATAAATAAAAATAAAACAAATAGTACAAAGTTATTTAATATTTATTAAAAAAAAATATAAACTGGTTCTGCCACAAATCGATCGTGCAAGACGATATGATTTTTTATAAACAGTATAAAAAATATGTACTACACCCAATATATAGTGTGGGTTATTTGCAATATCGTCTGAAAAGCTGTCATTATTTCTGTAGATATCTTATAATAAAAGAAATATTCTTAGTCTCTTTTATATTCAATAACTTAGCCTAAGAGTGGCATCCTTTTGCGCTTTAATATTGCCCCTATAATAAAATATAAGCGCATTTAAAGCTGTAAATATATGAGCAATAAAAAGCATATTATTCTTGTATCATAATGTAGTTATAACTTAAGTTAATTAGTTCATATAATAATATATTTTTACGTAGAAACAAAATGTATGATTAAATCCGTGCATGATACATTGTTTAAGATCCATTTCGTTTAGTATACAGAAAATGATAATATAAGGTAAGTATAAATCCGTTAGTCCAAAACGATTCCCGTGATGTCACTGATCCAGGACAAATGATGCTGCACGCGCGTGAACACGGAGGGCATCTCGTCGTTGCATCCGCTCGCTTCCACGAACGTGGTTACTCCGATCTGAAGGCGATAGTTACGAGGATGATTAGTTGTTGGTTTCTTTTAATAAAACGACGTATTTCTTGGAATGATAAAAATGGAAAGAAAGCGTGTTTATTTTAAAATATAAATCATAGATAACACATTATAACAACAGATATCATAAAATTCGTTTATTAGATGACTTAAAAATAATATATACCTATCTAACAACATCTGTACATTACGTTAAATGGAGATATGATCGAAGGGAAAAAAGTAGTTAAATAAAAAAATTGGTAGGTATTGAGTATGTATGAGAGTTTTAAAAGTATTTATCTATAACATAGTTTTTTAAAGCAAATGATGTTCATCAGTATCTAAAAATATTTTTATTAATTATATAATCATAAATTAATTACTTACCAAAATAGTTTCATTCGTAGCAGTTGAATATATAGTGAAAGGGCCGCCATTATCACCCTGAAGGGAAAATCGTGAATCAATATTGAGACTGCTGATAATAAAGTTCTAATAAAAAAATTAAATTCACACTTTTGACCTAGTGTATCCAAGACCAATAAGCCCTATAAACAAACCAACCAACCAAATTCTAATATCGAAGGATCTATGAGTAGATAGTAATTAATTCCAATGGCTACCACTTCTAACATCATTATTTGGGCAGCTTGCTGGTACCATGAGGGTCAGGAATGAAGAAAAAATATTTAATAGATGGCATTATATGATCGATTTGCTATTGAAGTTTGTGTAAAGTAAAAAAAAATATAGATCTAATTCTAAAGGTTAAAGTAAGCGAAATAATCGACATTTTATACAATTAAAAATAACTGAAAATCGATACTTTAGATTTATTTACCTTACAAGTACCAGATGCCACACTAAATCCGCAGACCATGTTGTCAGGTAGATGCCCCATGTAAATAGATCTGCACAAACCGTCCGTCATCACCGTCATCAGCTTCTCTCGAAGTGTTGGTGATACGAAGGTGACACCTGGTGCAATAGTTTTTAGCAAGTTAAGCTATTCGAAAAATTTCTTCATAATTTGACAACACGTTTGGCTCAGTTTGTAATGACCCTACTGGCTGCGCCAGCTGTCGCGAGTACGAGTCCCGCTGGGGGCATTTGTGTGATGAGCATGAATGTTTGTACTCCAGTAATGGTGTTTATATTATTAATATGTATGTATTTAAAGTTCTATATGTGTAATGTATCAACTATCTGGTATCCATAATACAAGCCTCGTAGCTTACCATGAATCTAGATGGTGCTGTGTGTTAATGTCCCAACATATTTATTTATTTTATTACCTGCTGTCTGCTGCTATGGGAAAGCTTATGTACACAAAAACAAAAAAAAATTAAAGTAAAAATTGAAGTAAAGGAGGAATTTCTAAAAAAAACGAAAGAAGCATTTTTATTTACCAACAGCAGCAATCCCCCACCCGGAGGCAGTCGCACCGCGGCCGGCGAAATTGGCCGCTACTGTATCTAGGTATGGAAGACGTATTATATCTATTGATTCTGAAAATATCAAGATTCATATTTAGGAGAGTGTTATATAAAAAAAATATAATAAAAAAACATGAATGAAGGATGTAAACTAAATCACAGTAAATTATCAAAAAGCTTGATGATTTCTTGATAAACTTGAGTAAATTATTATCTATAACTTTTACTGTTAGAATAGATGACCGTAGGAGCAGTAGACAAAGTCATTCTTCGATAAAAAAAAATATGACAAGAATTTGTAAAAGGAGAAAAGGAAGTGATAAGTTATTTCATACCAGAAGTCTGAACAGCATTAGCTAGTTTTAAAAGAGCTAGGTCATTAGAAAATACACTCGGCTCCCAATCTGGGTGTACGATGATTTCTTCCACGTTGACTAAACGACGTCCATTTTCATAACGGTCATACAATGAATGTGCTCCTAATATTGCCTTAAACAAAAAGCAACAAATAAACATAGACTATATAATTTACTAATTATTCTACAATTAAAGGAAGACTTCAAAGTTGGACTTATATTTCAATTTTTATTGGAGGACCAAGTTAAGGGACTTCATTAAGAAAGTAATTTTAAAAAATGCTCCTTTTTGAAGTAGGTCAAAACAAAATATTTTTTTTGTATTTCTGAAAATTAAGTAGATTTTGGGTTAATATTGATTCTTTAATTCGTAGACTGATACACTATAATATTATCTAGATACAATCTCGATAAAAATAATAGTATTAATTTATTAATACAATTTAATCATAATAATACAAAAAAAAGACCATGTTCACGAAATCTATCATCATCATAATTATAATTTCAGCACATATAATCTACCTGTACATGAGTAACCATATCATTGTCATGGAAGCAGCAGTGTGCAGCAGTTAGCACCCATTGTTTGTGAACGAGCGACCCGCCGCAAAAGCCGATATCGCCTGTTGATCCCACTCGTAGGTATAACGCTATCTAAATTATACAATAATTAATCTAATTACAGTGCCTTTTTTAAATATTAGTAAAATCTTAAAATGATTTTAATGACCAAAAAATGTTGCGGATTTCGACAGAAAATCATAGAAAAAAAAGAAATATATAAAAAAACATATGAACAGGGGTACGAAAAACATTATTACTCTTTCCTTAGCAATTCGATACAATTATTTACATGTAAAATATTTAAATCTATACATATAATAAAATTGTAACTAAGCCGAATCTGTACATTAAATATTTTTTGGAATATCTTATTGAAATAAACATTATTATCGATACAGAGGCCGAATCTATATTTTTTAGAATTTTTGTCTGTCTGTTACCGCATCACAGAAAAACTACTGGAGGGATTTTGATGCAATTTGGTATGGTGATAGCTGGTTATCCAGGTCAACATATAGGATACTTTTTGTCGCGGGAAAATGTCTCATTTTTGAGAAAAAATAAAAAAACTGCAATGTAAGAGTATATATGTAAAACCTAAGAATTTGGTTTTTGGTCATCTGAACGCGGGCGGATCCGCGGGCAATTCTAGTTCCTCTATAATATCAACGTCCTTACTTGATCTATGGTCATACATATATTTTTTAAATGTGAACATTGTAAAATAAATCTATTTTTAAGAGTTATTCTCAACATTTCAAACAACTAAAGTAATACTTATATTTTTATTTTATACTGTTATTATTTATACATACTTGAAAGGGCCTGGAACTACGCTCGCTGATAACACCTCCATATATCTTTTGCTGAATTTTTTGAGCAAATACTTCCTCATCATATGGTTTTGTCGCACTTACTAACAACAATAGTATTACTACTCCAAAGGAAACCTTATTTTGTCTGTACATCTTGGTATTTTTTTTTTATTATAAGTGAAAACTCAGCCGTGCCGAGTATATCGCTCCGGAAACTAGGATGAGAATGCGTTTATCTCAAATTGTGAATAGTTTATCTTCGAAATATCAGTTTTATCTCGATGTGAAGTGTCCAAATTACAAATATTTATTACGTCGGCAGTTCTTATAAAGTTGATAGAGTTAACTGTTAAGCTACACTGCATTAAATACATATTCTATAGTCTGTGTACTTATATTTTCAAGTTAAGTAGGCAATTTATATAAATATAATGTATGTGTGATTCATTTATTAATGACCATTTCATAATTTTAAGAATATACAAGATATAAAGGGCCATAGTAAAGTAAAAAATCCATAATTATTAAAGCACTACATGTCACTTTTTGAACTATCTCTCTTCTCCGGTATTTAACACCATTTACACCTACACAATACACAAGTTGACTGCCACGTCATTTTCTGTGTATATTTGTATTTGTTTTATAGTGCAGTTCAGAATATAATTTATTACCTTATACATATTATGATTTTATTCATGTATCTCTTAATATTCTATACATATATGTATGTTTATTATATGGAATTAAAGCGACTGTAGATAAACAAAAACAAATCTATCCCACGGCAACCGTACATTTTTCCAGGATAAAAAGTAGCGTACATGCTATTCCAGACTAAAATTTATCTCTGTGCCAAATTTCATCTAGATCCGTCCAGTCGTTCTAGCGTGATTGAGTAACAAACATCCATCCAAACATCTAAACTATCCCATTTATTATAACTATAGATTAAGCCAAAAAAATTGGGTAATAGAAAAGAAACAAATATTATTTGAAAACATCATTTATTATATTTTCCTCAAAAAAGTAAAATTTTGAAATAAAATATTTAAACATAGTTATACATGCAAGAGTGTGACGAAGGCGCAGGCGCACACACACCCATACGCGCTATCTATACAATAATCATATAACGTAAACTGAACTGAACGTGTCGTTACATCTAGAAATGGTGATACTCAAATATTATACATGTCCATTTGTGAAATGTTGGCAGTAAAATAATCATTAAATTATAAATTTATAATATAATTATATAAGGAGACAATATCTTAAAAGCACGATATGAGGCATAAAGCATACTTACAACTTCACCGTAAAGTCCGGGGCCGCCGCCGGCGCTACCGCCGCCCACTAACTAACCTATTTATCTTTATTTAGGGATCTAAGAAGAAAATTTGATATTTTAATTTTAAAAGCGGCTCTCGCTAGCCGACGGCGACGCCGGAGTGGCAGAATCCAAACACGTCATAATAGAAATTAATTCTAATTCAATTACGTAGCTTATATTTTATTCCAAAATAAATATAGTTCAAACTTAGCAAGCTGTCAATCAATAAAAACGACATTCACTGGTTAAATCAACTATGTGTCGTAAATGCGGTTACATGATACACGCGGCGGCGCCGCTTGGTCAGTACTAATAAAACATCTAGTATCCAATTAATCGCGGCCGACGATTGTCGTACACATCTAGTCCGACTGAATTTACACTATAATTTATCAGTTACATATATGATATACGTATATAAATAAATAATATATATTTCCATCTGAGTTAAATACTAAAAGTCATCTATTCATAAATAGCGTCGCATTTAGAATTTTATAATAATAATATGTCAATCTATAATCGTAATCAAGTTACAACAATTACACGAGGGGTGGGTTCGCGTCAGACGAAGGCAAACGACTCAAACACTCAAATATCGAACAGTCTTAAATAACGTTTTGTACGCAACAAAATAATAACAAATACAAACAGACAGTCGCGCTGGGCCGCACACACAATTTCGTCATTAGCAAAGCTTACAGTAGCAAGCGTCGTGAGAAATATGCGGCGTCCGGGGCGGTACTCTGGTGTGCGTAGTCCGAGTGCCGGCCTTCATACACATACTCAGGGCTGCCAGATCGTATAATTAGATACAAAAATTGTAAAATACGGTTATTTTATGTATATTTCAATTTTAAGTTATTACATATTTTTTATTGAAATTTTTTATTCATCACAGACTATTTGTCAACAGTTTTGTTTATTTATATAATTAAATTTGATTTGGTATAATTTGAGTGAGCCAGCTATATGAAATAAGTTGGCTCTACTGGCAGCAGTTGCCTATACTGGCAGCCCTGCACATACTACACAGCTGTACTAATTTGCAATGAAATATATATTTCCATTATATATATGTATAAGTGCGGCCGCCACTCGGACTTACAACACCTGGTACGGGGGACGCGCGTGCGTAATGAGAAACGTGACGCGGGCGTTACGAGCTGTCCGGTTCTCCCGACCCGCTTAGCTGTGGACAAAGGGAAAGGATTCATTAAATTTTGATTTATATATAAAAAATATTATTGTTAGTTAGGATATTACTGGTTTAATAACTATTACTCTGTATATAATGTATAATAATTTTAACAGCACTAACTTAAAAAAAATAGTTTAAGTATAAAGTTTTATATATATATTCAAGGTCATTACTATGAGTACTTAAATGAAAATATATTTTTAACAAAGCCAAAATAAAACATTACGTACAGACAAAACAATGTTTAAAAATATCATTCTGTACATAAGGTTTTTGTTGCATGAACATTTTCTTACTACTTCACATTACATAAAAAATGGCAAATTTTCTGAACATAATATTCGTAATACAAATCATATACTATATTTTGATATGATAAATGAAATTTTAATCTATACTAATATATAAAGAGGTGAAGTTTGTGAATTGTGAGTTTGTGACGTTGTAGGGGGTAATCTCTGGATCTAATGAACCGATTTAGATGAAATTTGGTAAGATAGTTTAAGACCCTGGGAAGGACAGAGGATACATTTATATTTTTATCCCAGAAATCTCTCTGAAAATGGGGATGAAAGTTTGTATGGGGAATCAAGCTAGGGATAAACCCGAGCGAACCGAGGGTGAGCCGTTAGTCTAATATAAAATGTAATACACAGATAGACTGTGAGCTGGAGTGGAGGCTAAGTAAGGCACCTAGGGACGCACCCGAGCGAAGCGAGTGTGAGCCACTATTAAAGCATATAATGTGAAGTAACAAGCAACACCGAGACCCGAGACCACTGTTAGACAACACTAAGAACACTTAGCAACGCTTCAGACGCACGCGGGATGGCACTACAAGGAATACAAATTTAATAACAAATGAACCAACATACTCAAGAAAATCTACTTCTACTTTACTATAATATATGTATTAACATGTTACAAAGAGTTTGTTGGATTTTGCGACCACATATAGCGTTTAATGTAACCTGAGGTGGGTAGTATTGGTTTTAGTTGAAGTAAAATAATACGAAAATAGATTACGTATTCGACAAATATCTTTGAAAAATGATTAAGATAACTTATTTTTTAATAACAAGAAATTTAAATTAATTAATACAAGAAAACAAAAATACATTACTTTTACAGTCCAAAAATCAATTAAATTGACTATTGCCATGATAATGTTACATACAGTATTCCATCTTCATACAAACGGTCGGAAATCGAGTTATACCTACGCGCCTCGCGTTCGGTATACACTCGGTAGACAACCGTGCGGGGCTGACAGATCGTATAATTGGATACGAAAATTGTATAAGGAGGTTATGTTATGTAACTTTTATAATTTGATACAAAAATAAACATTTAATTCCTCCCGTAACTTCGCTAATGTCAAAAAAAAAGTATCTAGACATCGTATGTTTTAAAAATAAAAATAAATAAATAACAATAAAGCTTTTCGTACGTCTCAGTCGAGGCGCAAATATTATTCAATCTCAAATTTATAAGGGTCACATACCCTTATAAATTAGAGATTTTTTAATTAAATCTACTAATAATATTTTTAAATAAAAAGTATAATATTTGCAATCACAAAACCAGAAAGAAACTCAAGTAGGTAGATGAAATTAAAATACTGGCCGGCGGGCAGCCCCGTCGCGTGGGTACGTACCGTGCGGCTGTAGGTAATTATTTCAAGGACAGGGTCGAGTTACAATACTGTATGTATAAATTACCGTGCTATTGCCAATTAGACATAATAGACTTTACTCATGATCATATCAAAAAAAAAAAGAAAACAGTCAACAGCGCCAACCCTACGCCACCCCGGGCGCCGCGCACAAACAAAGCGTTACGCCTGCGCGTTACGGACGTGTCAGTGGTGGCCGCGCGGTCACGGCGAGAACAGATAGGTGGCGGCGCGCACTGACTTCTTCTTGAGCGTGAAGAAGGATCTGCGCTTGGGCTCGCCGGCGTGGTGCGCGGGCAGCGTGTGCGAGCGCGGCGCGGGCGCGGCCGTGCGCGCGCGCAGCGCCTCCAGCCACGCGCCCATCTCCGCCTCGTCGTGCGCTTGCAGCAGGAACTCCGCGCCGTTGCTCAGCCTGACAAAGTCATCACCAGTTATTATTACCATATAAAATATTTTATTCCAATAGGCTTTTATAACCTCTGAGGAGTTCAAATCCTGTGAGAAAACTAGCACCGGCACGAACTAAGCTTATAAAGAGGAACTCTGCGCCATTGCTTAGTCTACATTGCATTTATAAAGTTACATACAATTACTATGTACTCGTATCAGACTAGTATTATAAAGGTGAAAGATTGTGTGTGTGTTACTCCTTTACACTTACTTAAAAAGCAGGACGGAATTGGATGAGTTACTTATTGACTAAGAAGTGGACTATGTGTATAGCAGAAGAGAGCGCTGGTGAATTAACGAAACGAAAGAAAATAAATGCGTTAAAAATCATTGTCAAAACAATTTTGTATCTCATTAAAATTATTACAATTCAAAAGTGAACAGCAAAAATTAATTATCCACTTATATCATAATCTTAATGTATGATTAATAAGTTCAATTTCAATTTTATTTATGATCTTTAAAGGCATGTAAAATTGTATAGAATACAATATATACAATAATGCAATTCACGTTAACGTTACGAACATAAAAAAAATATAACCAAATCGGTCCAGCCATTCTCACCTTACCAAAGACATACATTATTACATACAGCATTTCATTTTTATAACATAGACGATAGAAATAAGCACAGCAAATTCAAAATCGCACCTTAGACGGAAGACATGCTTCTTCTTCGTGTAATTAGCTGCAACTTCCACATCAGCCCCGTTTAGGTCCAGCGGGGCCTCGCCGCGCCAGTGCTGCTCGGGCGACGCCTTGAACGACTTCTGGTCCTTGTAGAACGCCATGCGCCCGTCCTTAGCCACCACGTACAATTTGTCCCATGACCTGGTGTTATAATCATTGATGTATCAAATCAAAATATACTTTAGTCAAATAAACAAGCACTTTTGAATCGTCAATTTTACATTTTAAATTTACTACCATATAATATCATCTTATCATTATTCTTATAGTTATGTGAATATTTAACTATTGAATTAAACTATCTTTTATCAGTTTTATTTTGATTTATATGCTAGCTTTTTCCACGCGTGTATTGAGCCCACAACTATTTAATATCTTATTTGTATAAGAGTGGATCTACTGAATCTATGAAAGGTAGCTATAATTTTAACCGAGTCTTATAGAAAAAAGACGACCATACGACAAAATCCATTCAGCAAAGTCCTCTTGAGTATAAAATAAATATAAAAACACTTGAATGATCAATTCTAATAAACACTCTTCAATCATTCTCCAACCATCTGATATATAATTATTTTGATGATTTGTACAGATCATTTATATTACTTCTCACTGCAAAATTAGACGTTATCGCACTTTTAAAAAATTGTCAAAAGTGGTTAGAGACTACAACGTAATAATATGCTGTAAAACCTTTATATTGTAAAAAATATGTACCTGTTTGACGCTCGTTTAGCAGCGGATTCCCATTCGTGTTTGCGGACTAAAGTGCCCTCAACGCCCTCGTCCTCTCCTGCGGGACTCGCGCCCTCTGTATATTCCCATTAACATGAGTACTTTGGAGGTAATAAAATTGTTCGAGTAATTAAAAATAATAATAAAAATAAAACCATGATTGAATTTATATCAACTTAAACGTTTCCGACTTCATTTCACGTTATTGTCGATCGAAATTCAAGCATGTGCCATTATTATACGAAGATAGTAATAAACTTTCTGTCATGTAATCTAACATTTATCTAACAAAAATATACACTAGTGATAGGTTTGATACTAAACTTTCTAAGCTAGGTCGAATAAAAGTCTTCTAGTTACAATAATTTATTGTATTACACGCAAAAGTTAAGAAATCAAAAAAGTCATGCGCGCACAAAAACAACAGCACACACAAAGCATTCTTCGCGTACGTACACAAAAAAAATAGAAAATAGATACTGATGGACTATTATTTCCTAAAGCATAATCATATAGCAAAAATAATTATAATATGAAGTTCAATTACCACTTTTAAATAGAACTTATACGTCTCCAATTTCATATTCGTAGGTACTTATTTTAGCGATCAAATTGTCTACAAAAACACAGTTCGAACTTTTTATATACTTCTCTTATATTTCTCTAATATACGTTAATACATAAACGTATGATAAATCCATCCACATCTATCCCCTACAACGAATACCTTCATCATCGCTATGGGGTGCTCCGGTGAGTAATTTCTTCGCGGTGCGCCAACGGAAGCTTCGGAAGGGAGACTTGCTTCGCGACCGCGACTTCACCTTACCGGATGTAGACGGTGTCGCGGGAGTCGAACTCGTACCCGCTGCTGTATCCGGTGGTAGGGGGTAGGGGTGGTAGGGGGTAGGGGTGGTAGGGGTGGTAGGGGTGTTTGGGTGATAGGCGGAAGTTAGAAGCGGGATGAAGAATTTTTGTGTAGTGGGAAATATAGGTAGTGATAAAAAGTAAAATGAAAGGTGCAATGAAATTGTTTTTGTAAGACGAAGTATGATGTAAAAGTAATTAACAGTGTAAGGATTTGTATGGATAAGGATTGGTAGGTAATCGGGTAAAGATGGGAGGTAAAAAAAGAAAAAAATATTCAAAGCAACATAAAAACAACACTGTGTCGCAGCAAAAACATAAGCATTGTCATGCTACTTTTGTATATAAAAAAAATTAACACACTTTACAAAGTAATCACCAGAAAACACAAAATTAGAATTAGAATTCATGCACTAATTACATACACTGCGCAAAATTAGTAACATAATTGGGTGGATTATAAATATATTCAACTATGTAAATGTTATAACACTACACATGTACAATTTGCGACTGAGATGATTTCGAAAGAAATTAAGATTGAGAAAGAAATATAAAAAAAAAAATCATCTCATCGCATACATTAATGACTACTGGTTCCTGACACACGGCACACAATACATATGTGTTTTTCTTTCAGATTTTTTAAAATTAATATATAAAAATCTCTTTATCATATATTATCTAATAGTTTCTTGTATTACAGCAAATAATTGACATTTTTAAATAAAACTATCTTTCCGGATTTTTTCGCGGATTTATATTGATTTTTTTCTTAAGGTTTAAATATGACCACGGGACATACACACGTGAGCTTATTGCATGAATCTAAAAATCCAAATAAATCTGAAAAGATAAAGAGTACAAATTCTTCTTTTTTAAATGGCATTGCATGTCAGTGTGTAAGGTAAGGTAAGGGGTGTATTAGTAGATACTCACTGGAGAGGCGTGCAGGTTTGACTGGCGTCTGTTTGGCCGGAGCCGAGGTCGGGGTCGGGGGCGGGGAGGGCCCCGGCGCGGGCGCGGCCGGCGCGGGGGAGGGGGCGGGGCTAGGCGTCTCTGCATGCGACATCTACGTGCTAGTTACTACGCTACACTACACGCTACGTGTACATGCTACGTTATTGCATGCTCGTGAATGCATACGCGTGACCATTTACTACTATAGTCTGTTTCTTAATTTCAAAGACTGAATTGACACAAGCAAATGTCAAATTTACAAATAATCTAACCTACGATACCGGTTTGTTGAATCGAAACTTTTTATCTTTATTAGATAATTCACTTCAGTTTTATATTCCTAAGCATGTCGTTAAAATTCACATTATTAATTTTAAATCATTAAGTATCATTAAAATACACATGATTAAATATAAATTTACATTATTAATTTTGTATTATTAGGTCTTAAATAAGTACTTGTACATTATTTTACGATAAGTTATTACAAAAAATTGATTTCATTAACGTTAATTTTCGATAGTGGCACATCACTATTTAAAAATTGCAAAATAACTGGCAACCCACGTAATGTCAGTTTTATCTCTGAGGTTAAAAAACAGACTATATAGTTATTGATATGCTACTAGTAGCATATCAATAACTATGAAATATTTAATTTTTATCTTTTATCTTTGGTTATCAGACATATGCAATCAACAAAAACATTTTAACATGAAACCATGCATACTACATATGCATTACGTTTAATTAATTGCATAACATTAATATCAATTTCTTATAAAATTTTAGCCATTTTGGTCCCTAACCCTTTTTGTCTTTACTGTTAGGAAAACACATTGACATAAATTCTTAGACATCTTCCGTATCGGCCGAATAGACATAGAAAATTTAAGTAGGAAAAGCTAAGTATAGAAAAACTATAGATCATCTATAAGAAGAAATATAAACACAATTTAAACTTATGTTGTATACACTAATAAATATATACATGCATATATGGAAAGCGAGCTATAGGTAAAGCCGTGCGTGTCAAGGTAGCTATAGGCGTACGCGATAGCCATATGTTATACCTACCTTCTACGTAGACAGCGTCATTGAAAGAGAAGAACACAGTATAAATTGATACAGCACATTATATATATTATATAGATTATTTCACATGATGAAAAACTAAAAGACAGATGAGAATGGAAAGTATCAAACCATCACCGTGATTAGCAAATGAAATTAATGTAGAAAATAAAACATAACAATTTTGTGTGATAATTTTGATTGAATGAGTAGTTTGTGAATTGTAATATAAGAATAAATATTTCTGATACATTAATTATTATTATTAAGAAACGTTTACATGACATGATATTATTATATATATTTAAATATTTATTATATTATTATATTTAATATTATATTTTAAACTACTTACTAGAAGAATGAGAATAGACAGAAAGATATATAACGTCACAAAATATTTAATAGAGTTTTTATCTTTTTATCACAGTAACCATACATTAGATATGTTAAATATTTTGTAAAGTCTTATAATAAATAAATAATTTATTCGCGTAAATAAAATAAAACAATGGCGACCTTCACCTAGAGATGATAGAATGAACACATTGAAAGTGCATGAACAAAGAAAATTGTGCTTAGCCGTAACTAAATAGAGAGCCTACAAAAACCTAGCCTAATAAATGTTTATAGAAGCTTCTAGAAAGAAATTAAACATCTACCCCGTGGCTGACTAGTTTAGAGCGCAGTGTAACCCGTCAAAATTAAGAGGCCCATTATAACACTACGATGTTAAAGCACATGCGTACAGCTGGGGTACATCTTTACGTCGGTAGGTTTATATAAAGCGCTCTGTTACCTGGCTGGGAATGCGGTCGCTCTTGGGCCTTCTCAGCCGCTTTAGTGGACGTTCTCCTTACGACTACGCGTGTGCATGTGTGGACAACACATCGGTAAGTAACGTCCTCTTTGTCTTACACGCATAAACCGGCCCGCGACAGAAAGGGACGGATGTACATTTGTATACTTACGTATACTTGTTCAGTTTAGACATTATTTATCATTGAGAAAATATTTCTATTCGCGGGTCGGTCAAGCGATACAAAGGGTAATTTCACATGGAAAGCGGCAAGCGACGCCGAAAGAAAGACCTTAGGCTCTATCGCTGTGCGAATGTGCTAAGTCTTTAATTAATTATTTTATAATATTTTATTTAAACTTTCATATTATTTCTAAAATAGTGATATATTTTTTTAAATTCAGGCAACATTCACCAGTTAAATGGTGGTAATTAGTAGAAATATTACATACATTCTCGATAATGAAAGTTTGTATTTCAATAGTGCTAGAAGATACACATGCGTGCTTATTATTGCAATCCGTGAGTTAAAGTGAGGTTAATTTTTGTTTAAAAAAGTTGTGTTTTCCATTTTATTTAAGTAAAAATATCTGTCCTGACAATTTTGACACTTATTCTCCAAAAATTAATTATAAAAATAAAATAAAATTAGTGACACAAATATATCATCATTTTGAACGATATATTTTCGAAAAATTAAATTTATTCAATACTAATTTAAAACCACTTATAATTAATCTATTTTACAAAATAGATTTAAAGGAAACTTTCATTATTATTTCTTAATTATTATCAAAAAATACGTGGCACAAACACTCAGATTTCACACAGAGTTAACATACTGGCATGAGTCGTGACCAATATATTGTTATAAGTTCATATGAAAACGCATCACAACGCTACATATCAATACGATACCAACTAAAGTAAATACGAAACAAATAATTCAAGAAAACTAAATGTATACAGACATAACTTTTATTATATATTTTTAGACAATTTTGTTTTATTAAACGATTTTTAAAATATATATTCCTAATTACGATGATTTTTTACTTTATTTATCGCAAATAATCTACATCTATTTTAATAAGTAAATTTAACAAATTACCTACGCTTAACCAGCAAACCCCTAAAGTTTTTCATTACCTATTTTAAGACATCATAAACTTCAAACAATATTGAGGTCACGTCTCACTTCGTATCCACAATTTACGACACAGTCTACCAATCCATACAGTAGTCTAACGAAAACCTCTAGAAAGGGTAAATAAGGTAGACACGGGATTGTCATACTTACTTTCATATGACATTTGCAAACGGTTTTATAGTTGAGGTACTGTAACTTGTCACAATGACATAGAGTTTTAAATTCAAACCGTCCACCGTAAAAATGGGTCTTTTAACCAGGGCTGCCAGATCGTATAATTGGATACGAAAATTGTAAAATATAATTATTTTATGTATATATCATTTTAAGTTATTAAGTATTTTTATTGATTTTTTTTATACTTCACATACTATTTCTCAACAGTTTTGTTAATTTGTGTAATAAAATTTAATTTGGTATAATTTGAGTGACCCAGCGGTATAAAATAAGTTGATTCTACTGCCAGCCCTGCTTTTAACAACCATTGCATTTGCATCAAAATAAACAATAGCTTACTGTATGGATTTTTACACTGTGATCGTCACATCACGTATTAGAAAATGGAATAGTAATAATATTTAAATAAGGAACGCGTTAAGGCGTCCGTCCACTCACCCTGCGGCTGCGGCTCGGGCGAAGCGGCGCGGTCCACGGCGTCGTGCGCGGCCGCCGCCGCCGCCGCTGCCGCCTCGCGCTCCAGCCGCTCCCGCTCCGCTGCCTCGGCCGCCTCTTGTCTGCGCTTCATCTCTTTCACCTCGAACTGGAATACGGGGTTTATTGCTTTATTTTTTTTTAATTAAGGATAATGATTTATTTAAACGGCTTTTGTCAGTCACAAGTTTTTGCATATATGTATAATGTACTTAAATATTTTGTTTCATAACAAAAGATATATCTGTGTTTTATATATAAATATTATATTAAGGCCTAAATATATGTCGAATATATAATATTGGTTAATTATTCCTATAATACATACAATATAAAATAAACCATTTTATTTTAACGAGTCACTGCTATAATTTTCTATGCAATATTTATAATTCCGTAGAAAGTAATCATGCATCAAAAATAAAATAAATCAGCACATATACAAAGCACGAAGCGCATGCGAAATACCGTCACCAAACTTACACCATCCAAGTAGTTATAGTACCATGCACCCTCCGGGAACAGCAGGCTACGGGTTTGGGATAGCAGGGATATGGAGGACGCTAGTGGGATAAACTTGACATCTTTTCCGAGATCATTGATCTGCTTTAAACTACTCGTCAGACCAGGCATTGACAGTACAGCTACTTCACTTAACGCCTCACTGTCTACCGATTTACTTCTTTTTGACAGTCTTTTAAAAATACCTACAATGCTACCGGATTTGGAGGACGAATCGCTTGGCGCTCTTACACGCCGAAGCAAGGACACATTAGGATACACTTGCAAGTACGACAGCCTCTCCCATAGGATAAAATCAATGGATGCGAATCGCTCATCTCGCTTTTCGCTTTCAGCTGCTGGATACTCAAAGAAAATGGAAGTGTATAATTCTGGCGATTTTAGGGGAGACATCGGTGGACTGCTGGTTTCAGATATAGTAGACAGACTGTTGTTAGTCACAGCTGTCCAAAGATATGAATCGTTTTTAGCCACTGGTTTCGCTTTGTAGTTAATGTTTAGATTCCTCTTTTGGAATTTTTCGGGTAGTTGAAATCTGTCGTTAGTGTGTATGATCTCGCATACTACGTCTCCCACTGGTATCATCGGTTTGGTTGAGATTTTTAAGGGAGGGTTTTGACGGGTCGCGGGAGGAGGTTGGTAAATGAAGGAGGTTTCATCACATTTCTCCCAAGGTTGTTCGGTAGGCCATAATGATGCTTCTCTCATTTCAAGCTAGTGGTGAATTAAAAAATAAAGGATTACATAACAAACACTACAACTATAACAAAGCAACAGAAAAATAGGCATTCAAAAGAAAGAAATTGTGCAAAAAGTTAAATAATTAAAAGTGAATTGTGTAATTCTTTTATTATTTTAGATGTATAATAATAATAATAAATATGTAAGTTAATGTCCCAACATATTTATTATTATTATTTTAGAAGTAACAAGTAGATATAGAAGTTACCAGCACCCAAATAAAATACACTATTTACAAGAACATTCAACACACACAAGAGCAAATTGCAAAAAACTATATTTACAGTTTTGTGATAAACAAGTTAAATAAATACAAAAAAAAATAATATTATTAAAAATTCATGCATTTTTCTGTATGTTGTAAACTGGATTCCCGTGTCAAAAATTATAACGATCGTGTAGCTGTTAATAGGACATCAGTTTTTTTAACGTGCATTTCTAATTTGAATTACTAATAAATATATTTTTTTATGGCAAAGTTAAACCTACAATATAATATTTGTTTAAATTGTACATGCTACTACAAAACAGAGTGTAATCACATCTTGCCATTAAATACTATACCGTATACACGTATGTTTATTTCTCCATGCTTCCCTAACACGAAAGAATAAGTAACACCGTCAGCTTCCTAATTCTTTTATAAGCGATAATTTTTTGACAGAAAAAATCAGTGATTTTTTTATGTAGGACAAGACTCGAACTCGATTCATCTATTCTTCTATACCATTTTTTTTCTATTTTTCTATCAAACCAACGATCGTTTTAAAACTAACTGCGAACTAGAGTGGGCATCTAAAACCCACTATTAACATTAAAATGTTTTGCATTGATTTTTTTTCTAATTCTTTCTGGATTTTTTAGTCGATTTATTTTGATTTTGGTTTTGAATGCTTACAGCTATCACGGTCACGGGAGAGATTGTTGGACAGCTGTAAGTCATACCAAATGACGGGAACCAAAAATTAAAATAAATCCGCGAAAAAAAGATAATTTACTCTGATCCAATATTCGCGTAAATCTAATAAAATAAATAAATAATGAATAATATAGTATTTATATCTAGTAGTATATTCTCCCTAACCGTGGTGAGTCTCTGCAGCGCGCTGAAGCGGTCCTCCTGCGCGGCGGCCGACTTCTCGAAGGCCTCGTGCTTCTTGATGAGGCTCTCCACCTCGTCGATGGTGTGGCCCAGCTCCTGCGACATCAGGTACGGCTCCTGCGCGATCAGCCACGCCTCCGCCACCGCCGCGTCGCGCGCGAACTGGTACACCTCCAGGACTGAGGGATGTCGCATACATTTTTATATATTAACCTCAAATATCTATACTAATATCATAAAGAGGTAAAGTTTGTGGCGCTGTAGGTGGTAATCTCTGGATCTACTGAACCGATTTAGATGAAATATGTTAAAAAGATAGTTTGAGACCCTGGGAAGGACATACGATACTTTTTATCCAGGAAATCATCCCTTAAGGGAATGAAAATGGGGATGAGTTTGTATTGAGGAGCAAGCTAGGGACGAACCTGAACGAGAGGGTGAGTCTCTAGTATATAATATAAAATAATAAAACATTGATGAATACATTGTAATTTGCGCCATGTGTATGGTTATAGTATAATTGCGCGATGTCATAGTAGTAATGGTACCTACACCATAACTACTATGTCATAGGACAAAATCGCTGAATATTAATTATATGTCAGTTTTATAACTGCTGTATAATAAAATGTATTTAAATGTTCAAAGTCTTAACAAATTTGATATTACATTTTATATAAAAAATGTCAATAACAGCATTTCTTTCACTCTTAAACTTTGGTAGGACGACAATTGTCATGATTACTTTATGTGCTTTCCTCAGCACATCCACGGCGACAGTCACTCCGCCAATTTGCCAATTCAGAGTTGTTACTGAGAATTTATTAGAAAACACAATAACTGGGGCCCGGGACAGCAAAAGACACATCGAAAAAAGAAAGAAAAAACGTGCGAGTGTACTTATGTACACACGTAAGAAATTATATTTCTTACGTGTGTACATAAGCATGCATAATAGAACAAAAACAGCTAAAGATTTCATCCCGTATGTCGTAACTCTATGTTTGTAAAAGGAATGCAGAATTCATTATGTCGCTTTTTGGCTGTCGGTGTGCGCGCTCATCGTAAAAATTTTATTCTCATAATTTTTTCCAAGCATGCTAAAAGAAGTCTAACTTCAAAAAATAGATAACGAAACCAAAGTATAAAACTAACTGAGCTGCAAGTTCTCCCAGCGCTCCTCCCAGCGGCGCAGCAGCGCGTTGCGCTGCGCGGTGAGCAGCTGCAGCTTGTCGCGGATGTCGGGCGCGGCGTAGTGCTGGCGCGCCAGCAGCTCGCGGCCGAGCCCGATGCACGCCGTGAACTTGTCCTCGCGCGTCTCGATCTCCGCCTTCAGCGACTGGTGGTTGTTCATCAGCAGCTCCACGCCGCTCACATCGCTGTATACACAAATGTTTTTGTATATTTAATTCAACATCTATAATCTATACAGATAAATAAAATTTAAGTATCTGTTTGTAATGCCAAAATAACAGCTTTTTGCTAAATGAGTATGAAATTATATACGGTATATATTTAAAAGAAAACAATTATTTAAATATTTTGGTCTGTGTGTTTGTTCCGGCTAATCTCCGAAACGGCTGGACTGATTTTGACAGGACTTTCACTGCTAGATAGCTGATGTTATAAAGAGTAACTTAGTCTACTTTAATTTTAGAAAAAGAATTAGGGTCCCGCTCAAAAAAAATAAAACATACCTAGGTGAGTCGCTAGTTGCTACATAATCTTATAGTGTTGTAAATGTGTTTAAATTTTTGTTAGAAATTACCAACGCACATTAAGAATAATTGTTGGTAATTCTGTATTATTATTAATAATAAATAGGATTATCAAAAGCTCAAGCTCCAGTTACAAAATAAGCATTATTATAGACAATAAAAATCTCTATTACTTTTTTAATATCAATATGAAGAATTTATATGTAGAATTACAACAAAAAATAGACAGAAAGTAACATGGAATAAGATACGAGTATACTCTCACAGGTCAACCCACGTTCGAAGTGAATTACTGTTAAAAAGCTAGATACAAAAATATAAGTATTAAATAGTATTCCTTGAAAATCTTAAACAAGAAAAATAAATAAGGAGATCAAAAAAAGATACAATATGAATTGTTAAAAAACAACAGTATAAGTATACTCTAGATGACTCTCTGGCGATAAGGCGGCCTATAGACCAACGTGCACAACGAAAGTGCTACCGACTGACTGACTGGTGTCGCCTGCCTATCCGAATCTTGTACTCTATCAATAGTTGATATTGACATTTATAACAAGTAAACAGAATTAATTTTATTAGTGAAAATCATTATTCTAGCGAATTATAATGCATCGTTGCATTTCTGGATGTACCAATACATCCACAAAAAATGAAAATAAATCAAATAGCATAGAATTTTATTACTTTCCAAAGAATAGGACTCTCATGCCATGGTTATGTAGAAAACGCAAATATGGATAAACGTAGTAAAGAAGCATACGTAAGTATGAGTTTTGAGCATTTAGAAATAAACAATAATATTAGTAGTGAAAATAACTAACTTCTGTAATTAATACAGTCAGTTAACCATTATATTTCAATCTGTTTTCACCAAACATCCGAATGATTGGCTTCCATCTAGAAATACAATAATATGCAGTGTTCACTTCATAATATATCACTTTTATCATATTGAAAAATAATATAACTGAAGAGATAATTTTGTTTACATAATTGAAAGCACGATGACAGGTCTGATAAGTTTCCTTTACTGTCCGCATAGTGTCTCTTTTTATCGATTTAGTGTTGCCACCAATAGTTCGTGCACGTTCCCTATTGTACTATTCCTAGTATAATTTGTCTCAAGTAATGTGAAACACTCACCGCGGCTTCTCGCCGGTGTTCATGGAGCGCACGACGTCGTCCATCCAGAGCGTGAGGTCGCGCACCTGGCTGAGGAAGCGGTACAGCTGGTCGGCGTCCTCCAGCTTGTCGCGGCGCGCGGCGCACGCGGCCTGCAGCGCGCGCCACGCGTCCGCCACCTCGCCGGCGCGCCGCGTGATCTCCGCCGCCTTGTCGCCCGCGTACGACGCGCCGAGCCGACCGCACTCCGCGTTTATCGACTCCACCTGGTTTGGTTTATTGTTAGCTACCACAATCGAGAATTTTTGTAAGAAAAAAGTTGGTGGGCGTCTCATCAAAATGAAGCTACTCATGAAAAATTAGCTTGATACTAATCAATTGTAAAAACAGACCAGGGATCTCGAACTATGTTGAACATCATAAACTAATTGAACGTAGTTATACAAAATGGATACAGCCCACGAAAACTGTTTTTTGAGTTACTGTCATAAATGGCACCTACATATCAACTTACATACAGAAACTAGATAAAATACCCAATATTTAAGAGTAATTTAAAAAAATATATGGTATTGTTATTTTGATATACCAATTTTACTAAAACTACTATTTTCTCAAAAGTAAATTTTTTGGTTGGATCTATTTTGATTAACTACGTCCAATTAATTAAAATATAAATTTTAACTGACTTTGTCTACTCTATAGCGAAGACAATAAATAAACAAACAGAAACGAAATTTTATATAATAACGCGATTTAAAAAGAAAATTAAATGTTTCATACAATACCTAAAATCTGATTACTGTTAAATTTTTTTTTGTATGTGTATATGTTACTTCTTTAAGTCGATACGGGTGAACGGATTTTGATGTTTAGTAAGTGGACCTAAAGTAGCACATTCGCTACTTTTAGGTACCTAGGTCTCCAGGCACTTGCTAAGATTGTTATAGTCATGAAAAAACAAAATAGATATTTAAATACAAATATAACGGAACTATCCATTTAATAATTATATAAATATAAACACAATAAAACCCTATATCCTACTACAAAAAAGCACCACATGTACTAGGAAAACATAAACCCATAGGAACCTGTTGCTGCAGCGTGCTCAGGTCCTGCATGAAGTTGTGATGTTTGCGCTGCAGGGCGCCCACGCTGATGGCGTCGCGACCTAACTCCTCGCTGACACCACGTGCCTTTTCGTTGACGCGCTGCAGCGTGTCCTTGCAGTCGTGGAAGTACTTGTGCAACTCGCGGGAAGCGGCCAACATCTGGAGACGTTATCGTATATAAATAATGTTGCTTTAAAATTAAAATGTTGTTTTTGATCGTCTCTAAAACAGTAGGAAGTACCTCTTTTTTCAATGAGTAGATTATGTCTTAAGTATTAAATACACAAAATTACAAGAAATCTACCACTAAAAGTAAAATTAGTTTTGGCGACTTGAAGTTGTTTTAGGTTTTTAAATTAAAAGTAGTTATAACCTATAATATAATATAAGCACAAAATAAAACGGTAACATTAAACAAAAAATAAATTATTATTATTATATATTTTTTGCCTATGAGTTCGATCTTGAATGGGTCTCACAATCAAATATTACAATTATGTACGTTATTACTACTATAACATACCTGAGTTCTAGTGTCAATAAGCTCCAACAAATCTTGCCAGGTCTCGCGCAGGCCCTCCTTCCACTGAGCGATGGTGGCGTTATCGGAGTGGCCCATAGCGATCATCTGGTCGGCGATGCGCTCCGCCATGGCCACGCGCTCCGAGCCCACCGACTGGGTCTCTCTGGCGAATTCTTTGAAACGCTCCCACAGTAGCTGTATACAAATGGTATAATAAACTTTAAATTGTTACTTCAAAATAATCTAACAAAGTATTATGTATTTAAATTGCTATATATGGAGACCAATTATTGTCTCTTTAGAGCTAATATTTTCGTAACGTAAATTGATCTACAACTTAGCTATATTTTTAATTTATAATACTCCGTGTGATAACAAGAAAAAAATCTTTTAAGTAATGCGAGATTAAACAAATGATGAAAATTAAAAAATAAATAATCAATTTGTGATTTTTGTTTTTCTGTAAAAAAATATTTATATTTAAAAACAAATAATGACGTATTAAATAAAACTATCTTTTCAGACAGCCTTTTTTACTCAGGCTGTCTGTAACAACTATATCTTTAAGACATGTAACACCTCAGTCTCTCCCGTGACCATGGATGCTGTAAAGCATTCGAAACGTCGGGAAACAAAAATACAAATAAATCCGCGACAAAATCCGAAAAGATAGTTTTATTTAAAATGTCAAATATTCGCGTAAATCTAAGAAAGTATTAAATAATGACGTATATGTAACATTTGAATTTTATCACATGTAAAGATAACAATAACTACAACGTTACATCAAAACTAGCCTTTACACCTATAAATTCGACAACGCCGACTCACAGTAACATGATCATAATCCTGGCCTAGCTCCTGGGAGCTGGCGACCAGCTCGCGCTCGGTAATCCACTGCTCCAGGTCGTCCACCTCGCGGGACAGCTGGAACAGACGCAGTGCCTCATCCAGCTTGGCGCGCCTCTCGCCGGCCAGATCTTTGAGACCGGCGTACAATTTGTCCACTTGTGATTGTTTCACTGATATTTGCTCACTGTGGAGGACATTTTGTTTTATACATACACTTATTCGGTTTCTACAGTTAAAGTACAGAATATATGGACAGATGTAGATGAGAGTATAGCCTTAATGATGTTTCCTTTGAACCATTTGAGGATGGCTAAAAAATCCAAAAATGGTAGTATATTTAAAGAGTTTAATGCAGTGACTTTTAATATCAGAGCTTTCCTTTAAGAAATTTATGTAGCCTTAACAAATGGCTATCCAACACATATTTACACTGTTAATATTATTCAAACTAAGAGAAAAATTTGGTTTAAACAATTGAAATTTATTTATATTTGCTTAATTTACTTAATAAGCTTAGTAATTTAACTTTTTTTTTAAATATTGTATAGAATCATATATATTGTTGATGTTTTATGCAAGAAATGGCTGGACATAATATGAGTATGTATTCATTCAATGCAAATAAATAAATAAATGAAGTCTGAAAAATAATCACAAATAATTATTACCTAAGAGGATGTTCTTCGCTAGTGAGCTGACGGACAGTCTCACCCAACTGTCTGATTGTCTGCGCGTAATCATCTACCGCCTGCTCGAGTATCTCGTGTTTCTTCATCAGATTCTGGGCAGAAATCTCGTCTTTGCCGCGATCTTCCACCATCATGTACAGTTCCTGTTCGCTCATCCACGCCTCCGCTTCATTAGCATCGAACAGATATTGCTGAGCTTTCTCCCACTGGGACAGGTTGTTCTTGCGTTGTTCGATGGCATCTGCAAATAATTTTATTTACAATATTCAACTTCAAACGGCCATGTAACATTCAATAATTAGTTTGAAATATAATAATTAACAATATATAATCAAACCTTTAAGTTCTCGCCATCTCGCGGTAAGTTCCTCAATAAGAGTCCTGAATTCGGGCGCATCTTCATGTTCCTCGTCAATGAGTTTCTGTCCGTTAGAAATGACTGTCAATATTCTAGGCTCGTGGTTATCCGTCTCCGTTTTCAGCGATTGATTCTTCTTCTGCAACATCTGTACATTGAACAGCGAGTTGCCGTAGTCGGTGCTGGTAGCTAGAGGCATTTTCTCGTGAATCCACAGTTTCTCATCATCGACGTCGCGTCTGAACTGGAACGCTTCCTTCTTCTTTGCGAGATGGCGTTGACGCTCGAGTAATGGCGCTTTGAGTTGTTCGAAACGTTGCTCCACAGTCTTCTTCTTCTCCTTAATCTCCTCCATCTTATCTGGTACGGTCTTCTGCAGGTATTCCGCTTGCGTTTCGAGTTCGGTGACCTGCTTCGCCTTCACGGCCATCTGAGTCTCGATCATCTGTTGCTTCTGCATGAGAATATTGACAGATGCCAGATCAGTGCCAGTGTCTGTGTTTTCGATTTGTTTCTCCAACTCGTTCATCCATGAATCGATATCATCGCAAGTCTGGTGTAATAAGACCTCGCGGTTGGCGTCAAATAGGCGTTCGCCCTTCTCCTTTGTTGCAGTTTGGAGGTTTTCAAATTGATCTTGTAGTTCTGTCATCTTAGGCGAGATGACTTCGACGAATTCTGGTTTTTGTTTCATGAGTTCTTCAGCCGCGTTCTGTACGGCGAATAGACGTTCCTTGTTGGCAGCGATTTCGGCTTCGAAGGCTTGATGGCGGGTCCACTTGGAGTGGATAGTCTTGGCCGACCTGTAGGTGTCGTCTTGAGCGGTGACATTCTTCTCTTGCACCCATTCGCCAAGTTCGTCACAATCTTGCAGGAACTGGTGAAGTTGCAATTGGTCTTGCAGTTTCTCCATCTGTTGCAACGCCTTCTCGCGATTGGAGTCACGCCTGGCTCTAATGCTTTCTGCTTTACGCTGTATTTTATCGGCATCAAAGTGTCTCTCTTCGACAAGGCGGTTTGCGAATTGTACGACGGAATTGATCTTGTCGTCGTTAGCCTCCATGGTGGTGAGGAAGGCCTCGTGTTCCTTGATCATGTTCTCAGCCTGTTCCAAGTTCGTTGGTGGCTCAGTCTTAGCCAGCCTTTAAAAAAACAAAAATCAAAATAAGATTTTTATAAATACGCTAACTATAACAAAAAAAAAATACATTAGATCATGAAGTTGTTGTTAAAAAATTATAGTATGGTCAATGTATGATTTTCCCAAAGTGAATTAATTTATTAAGAATAATACACAAATAGTACAAACTAATTAAAAATATATATAAAAGTCACGATCACGCAAATAAATGTCAATTTCAATATCAGCATTTTTATTTAAAAAGAAATTTAACAAAACATCTACTTATATAACACAATAAGTGACATAGATGTCATGGTGTACTTTTTTAGTGTTACCAAGATCTCTTTCTACATCGACCCAAATTAGAGTTGAATGTAGGAAGCACAGACATACGGTCATTTTGTCAGTCGATGCTCGTCATCTATCGGACGTTCACATGCATTGATTGATTATACATCGATGTTTGCTCGTAATTATTTACAACAAGTAATCATGATGGTGTAACTAACCTGTGCTCCTGGTGCGCGAGCAGCACCTCCGCCTGGCGCGCGTCGCGCTGCAGCAGCTGCAGCTCGAGGCTCTGCGTGAGCAGCTGCTGCCGGTTCTCCCACATTTGCTGCAACTCCGCCCAGCCCTCGCGCAGCGCCTTCAGCCGCTCGCGCAGGAACATGTACTGCGGGTCGTCTTGAGTCGATGGCTCCTGTTGGGGGAAACAGATATTCATAGATTATGTATTAATTCAATTATATATTACCATATGGTAATAATATCTTTATAAATAAAAGCCTATATGTTAGTCTGATGTATAAATTATATTACTGTTAAGTTTCATCGTATTTCCTTTAGTAATATTTGCGATAAACATCCTCACAAACTTTCGAATTTATTAGCAAATTTGTATTTAGTAAAAAATACAAATTTACGCTACTATAAGTTTTTAATAATAAGGTACCAACCAATATACCTTTAGTTAACCTTATAAATATTTTGGGAACAATATTATTTTTTATTTTTATAATACAAACTTGAATCAAAGATGAAGCACTTACGGCAGTAATCTTTTCTCCATATTCCATCATCTTGGCATACTCGTCCTTGTAGTTATCAATCTCCTCCTTGATGGTCTGGTGCTGAGATAACAGCTTCTCAGCTTCGGGTAGACTGGCGGGAATATCTTCAAACAAATAGATACATATATTACTGTTATGATATTTAAATCTATATAAATAAAAATGAACCACCGAAATGTAAGTACGCGCATAACTTCCGATCGACTACACCAAATTGGATAATTCTTTTTTTTTTTGTTTGTTATTGTCAGGACAAGCTTTGTATAGCAGAAAATTAAAAAAAACATTATTTTTTACTAAAATAAGTTTTTTTTAAATCTCATTATATGAAAAGTGAGTGAGTGAAATAGTTTTTATCCTAGATATCGACCCTTAAGTGGGTTAGAATGGGGATGAAAGTTTGGAGAAAGAAAAAAATTAAATAATTCAAAACTTACGCAAACTAAGACGTTAGATAATGTGACAGTCAAATAGTTATTTAAATTATTAACTCTAGATATATAAGTAGCTAAATACCTTCGGAAGCCACATCGGTCTGTGTCTTGGTGAGCCACGCTTGGAAGTGGTCGACGGAGCGCAGGAAGCGGTGCAGGTCGCCCGCCTCCTCCAGTTTGGCATCGCGCTCTTTGAGCTATAAAAGAGATCTAAATTATACTTCTAATCTATTTAAATAGGTTGATGTTTTACAATTTAGGTAAGATTATAGGACCATTGTAAAATTTCATCATTGTGACGCTACAAGAATATAACGTGGTCATCATTAAACAGCCAGTGGAAGTAGTGTAAGTTAAATCATTGTTCGTGACAAATGAGAGCATTCATTTTCACAAAATTTCCAATAGTACACTGTGGACTGTGATATTAGTAGGAACAGTAAATTTTGTCTTAACGTAATACGCAAGACCTTTACCTAAAGCTGCTTTCACATTAAAGTCGCCATTTTGGGGATAAATAGTAATATGTTACGAATATAGGCGACGCCATTTGCAACACCATGTTTGTCCAAAGCTGATAAAACATATCTATACTAAAATTATAAAGAGGCAATGTTTGTTTATTTAAACGTGCTAACTTACTAGGAACTACTTATCCAATTTGAAAAAATCTTTTTGCATCAGATAGCCCGTTTATTGAGGAAGGCTATATTATATTATCATGCTACTACCCAAGGTAGCGGAGCAGTAATCATAAATGTCAACAAATCAGGAAGACTTCCATACATTACTAATAGCATAAACCTAAAGTTTCTTTTGTAATTTTAGCGCAAGCGAAGTCGCGTATTCTGCTAGTTGATCATACACCAATAAGACAAATCATCATACCATCTGCGTGAGCCTATCCCAGTTCTCAGTAATGGTTGCAACGCGCTCTCTGATTAGACGAGCCTCCTCAGGGTGTTCATCCTCTATGGCGCTGGCCTCGTTCTCTAGGGACGTGATGCGCGCTTGTATCGCGGCCAGGTCGCGCTCCATGCCGGACAGGCGGCGTTGTAGGGTCATTACACCTGGGGAATTCATATTATATGTCAGTTTCAACTGAAATTATTTTTATTCAATTATGCTTATAAAAGCACTTTTAAACCGTCAATTCAGTTTAAGAGAGTCAATGTAGTGGCCGGCGAAGAACTCAATAGTTGCGCTCTTAAATATTGAGATATATTTTTTTAATATAACATTATAGCTATCTATATTATTTATGTAGATAAAGAATGGATATGACTTGAGAGTAGTACAAAAAGGGAGCTACTCTTCTCTAGGAAAGTATTATTGGTAAATAATAAAAAAGTTATCAGAGATAAGTCTCTCTGTCCATCTATCTGTTTAACTGCGCATTTCACATTGTTTCTGTTGTTTCAAACTGTTTTTTGAATGTATCAAGATTCTGAATAACTCCTATTTCGTGTAATATTAAATACATATAAGAACAAATATAAGTATAGTGCATACCATTGAGATCCATCTCCAAGTTGTCTGTCTGTTGCAGGATGCGTTTTTTATCCTCTATCCACGACACGGTCTCGCGGCACTCGATGTAGAACGTCTGCACGCCCTGCGCGGACTTTAACTCGTCTTTCTTTGCTTCGGCCTGATTAAATAAACCATATTATGTTAACATTATATAATAATTAATTTCAGAAGTCTGATTGATTTACTAATAATCAGTAACAATTTTTAATAATTACACTATTTTTTTCAAAATAAATATAATAGCATAGTAAAAAAAATCTATCAAATCAAATATTATGACAAATGATTTCGAAGTTAAAATGCTGTAATGTCACCTCGTGGTAAGTTACGGTTATACCTACCAACTCTAATATCGTTTCCCGACTGACATATAAAAGTAGTTTGTATAACAGTCGGAAGCATCTCACCCGCGTATGATTGCCTTATATGCCTTCGTTAGACGAAGGTACGGATTAGTAGACTGTGGTAATAGAGATATGAACAAAGAACGCGAAACAAAAATAAACAAAAAAAAGGCACAGACCAAAAAGATTTTTGAAGTTTCTATCTATATCTATACTAATATTATAAAGAGATAAAGATTGTGAGGTTGTGAGTTTGTGGCGTTGTAGGGAATAGTCTCTGGATTTACTGAACCGATTTAGATGAAATTTGGTAAGGAGTTTGAGCCTCTGGGAAGGGCATAAGATACTTTTTATCCATGAAAACATCCCTTAAGGGGGTGAAAATGGGAATGAAAGTTTGTATCGGGAAGCAAGCTAGGGACGAACCCGAGGGAAGCAAGAGGGCGAGTCGCTAGTTCATTTAATAATAAAAAATATATTTGAGGAAAGAAGGTGACCTTCTCTCTCAACGCGCTCCAGGCCTGGTTGAGCGCCTGCTGCCGCTGCTGTATGGCGGGCGCCTGCGGGTGCTCCACGTGTATGAGCTGGCGCGCCAGCTGGTTCACCACGGCCACGCGCGACGCGTTTGCGTTCATCTCCTTGTCGAAACCGTCGTACCTGTACATATAATACAATGTTATGTATATTGAATATTCACTTTGTTATAATTTAGTTTTACATGTAACGTGTCTATATATATATATATATATATATATATATATATATATATATATATATATTTGTATATGTTAAGATGTCTTTATTAGTTGTCTATTTATCAGACTACTACTATAAATACAACAGTTTGCGTGTATGATTTTTTGCTTCTTCATTATAATATATCTGGATGGATTATAAGATTTAATATATTTCTGGACTATACAGTATACATAACACGTAGATATCTAAGGTCCCACACCCTTGGGAAGTAATTATAAATCGCTAATTAGAAATATGAAGTTTATAAAAATATTTGGAAACATTTGTGATTATTGAAAATATTTCCTTTTAGATTAATATTGTTTTGCAACTTTTGCATGACTACCTGTTTAAAGGAAAAAAAACCAAGCACATGAACAAAACTAAAGTAACAACTAACCGATGCTTCATAATCTCTACATCATCAATGTCCTTGGGCGGCAGCATGGTGTCGAGCATCCTGTCCTTCTCCGCGATCCACTGGTCGGCGGCGTCCGCCTCGGCCAGCAGCTTGCACAGCGACAGCGCGTCCAGCAGCCGCTGCTTGCGCAGGCGCGCCAGCTCCGCGAGCTCGCCGTGGCGCGCGTCGATGGCCGCCAGCCGCTCGCGCACCTCACCGCTGTTCGCGTCCTCGGGTGACAGCTCGCTGGCCTGGCGGGAATGATTTATTTATTTATTAGCTTTTTATTCGTTTTGGGTCGAAAACCTATATGGTATTTCCCGTTGACCTAGAATCGCGAAATTTGGCAAAAAGCAAAATCTTACAGCACAAATAAAGGAAAATATCCCAAAAATAAAAAAGTCGAAAATTAAAGTTAAACAGATTTCCTACAAATCTGTACAGAAACCTCGGTGGGCGAGTCCGACTCGCACTCGTCCGTATTTTTTTATAAAATAGTTTAAATATTGTACGGAGGCGGGCGTTGATATCTGTATCTCTTTAGTTTTATATTACTACAGAAAAAAACGTTTTCATTTAATAATATTTAAATATAAATTATAGTCACAACCTTTCTATATAATCACTCTTTCTATTGGTGAAAATGGGCATTGGTGAAAATCTGTACAGTCATTTCTAAAATTGGTCTAAACAAACACAAACTTAGAGCAATGTGGGACTTTAATTTATAATATGTAGTGAATACAGCTATATTTTTAATTATAACACACTGCATAAAACTAAATACATGTAATTTAAGACTTAAAACAATTCGAAATGTTTTCAAATGACTTAATAATAATAATTAACATAACTGTAATACAAAAGACAAATATTTTAATGTCAAAATAAAATGAAACCTACTTGTTGTTTCAGCTGTTGTATAACGTTAGCATAATGCTTGAGCTCATCAGTGACGTCCTTGTGCTTCTTCAGCAAGCTCTGTACCTGCGCTTCATCAACGCCAGTGTCCTCAGATGAAACCAATCTATAATTGAAAAAAATGTGAGTTGATGATATAAACATAAACATATATGTATATTAATTGATCTCTACAATTCACTGACTTACTATCACTACATTCTTACATTAATAAGATTGTCATAATGAAAAAGAAACATCCAATATAATATAAGTTATATATAGATTTTTATTTATACTACTATTATAAATAGAAAAAAAATGTTTTGTTTTGTGAGTTTGTATGTAAGAGATAAACTAAAGATCTGGTGAACCGAGTTAGATAAAATTTGGTATGAAGATAGTTTGAGACCCCAGAAAAGATATAGAATAGTTTTTATCACGGAAATGATCCTTTAAGTGGGTGAAAGGGGATGAAAGTTTGTATGAGGAATCAATCACAAATAAAGGATATAAAACTCATCATACATCATAAAATCATCAAGTGACGTCATATTTGAACAACATAATATACCTGAGAGTATCCAACATCCAGTTATCGATATCGTCCGCGTCAGCAAACAGCTGGTGGTAGCGCACGGCCGCGTCCAGCCGATTCTTGCGCAGCGACACCACGTCGAGGAGGTGGTTCCATTGCGAGAGGATATCGCGGAGACGCTCCTGAAATATGATAAGTATATTAAATAATATAATCCTATCAATATAACAAATGGAAGAGGACGTTTGTTACTCAATCACGCCAGAACGGCTGAAAGGATCAGATATTGATTATACTCTGGAATATATTGATTATAATCTGAATGGCACATAGGTTAATTATCTCGGAAACACGCAGACCATGTACGGTTCGCGTGGGATAGATTTGTTTTTTTTTACAAAACAAGGGATCAACTATCTATTCCATACTAACCGTTAAAACGTACCTAGGGATGTACCCGAGCGAAGCGAGGATCAGTTGCTAGTACACTGTATAAGTCACATACTTAGTTGTTCTATGCTTAGCTGTTTGTTAATGGAGAAGTTAATTGTCATATTAATTATTTTTTGTTTGTAGTTATTTTTTTTATATATATATATATATATAAATATATATATATATATATATATATATAATAAATATATATATATATATATATATATATATTAAGATTACTAAACTAAACTATTCATATTTGAATATATATTGTAAAAAATATATTAGTACATTGGTTATTGGTACAAATATCCACCATACTTGAAAAACTTGATTATAATCAGTAGTTTTAAAGAAGTTTTCAATAAATAAACATTGTCTATATATAATATTAAAAATACTATAAAAAATAAGGAATATAGTATATAATTACCTGTATCCTATCAGCTCCAAAGTGACCTTGAGAGATGAGCTCATCTCCAACAGCAGCCACATTCATTAGTTGTAGCTCGTGCGCTTGAACATCTGCTTCCAGGGCCTTATGCTTGGAGATCAGCAAGTACACTGCACGGAAGTTAGGATAAATATTATTGTAATTTAAACTCGTAAGTATACCTATATTGAATTTAAATTTTGAATACATTTTGTATTTTTTTTTTAATAATTAGGTTCATAAAAAGACACTTAAGCAGTAATATAAACAAAATGTACCTTTTTAATAAATCAGTTATAAGTGGTCTTCAATATAAATATTATATTTATAAACTATATTAAGCTATATTATATATTTATAAACTATATTTATTAAGAATAATCTTAGGAAAACTAAAAGAGCATATAATTATTATATATACACACCAGTAGTGAGGTCATGTCCAATATCATCAACGGAGACAATCTGCTCCTTCTCCTTAATCCAGTTCTCCTCGTCAGCCATATCCCAATAGAATTGCCACAGTTTGCGGCTATCTTCAAGACGCTTTCTAAATTACGAATAAAATGTTCATTTAATTTTTACGTGTTATATATAAAGTCTTGTCTAATCTAGTCTTCTAGATCCAGAAGACCTAGATCTCACATAAAGCTTTGAAATTTAATCATAAAACTCAAACCAAGCATACATACACACAAAATGTAACAAGTTACGACATTTATTATTTTATTATTCAGCCCTTTTTAACTTCCCACTGCTGGGCAATCGCCTCCCTTCAAAACGAGGAGGATCAGGCCATAGTCCATCACGCTGGCCAAGTGCGAGTTGGCGGACTTTACATGTCTTTCGAAAACTTGCTAGGTTCTCTCAGACATGCAGGTTTCCTCACGATGTCTTCCATCCCCGTAAGGCAAGTTATGACATACCTGCGCTCAACTGCGAGATGCACGAGCTCAGAATACGCGTTCTCCAGCTGCTGTATGCGCTCCACGGTGATGGCGGGGTCGCAGGGACGGTAGCGGTCTTCTTCCACTTCCAGGAAACGCTGGGACTGACCTACTACCACCTATAGACACAGATAAATGTATGTATGTTTGTAGAGTTATAATAAGTACCTGGCCGACTGAGCTTGGTTCGCCATAAAGTCATGTTTTTTGGGAAAAGATATAAAAATTAAAAGTTGTTTTTTATTTAATCCTATTTATTCAAATTGTTAGAGGCGTTTCTGAGACGTACCAATAATTTTTTTTTAAATAAAATAATTATTATAATATAAAATTATTAGTACACAGCAAGCTAACCCACGCACATGTATATTAAAATTTTTAATAGAACATGTCATAATGTTTTCATAAAAGAATTAATTGTGATTTTTAAGAAGTTTATTTTCTTAATTATTATAACTAGAATAAGTTCATTCTACAAAATAAATCGCACTTAATGCCTTCGATTTAATAATTTTTGAAATATTTGTTTACACATATTTTGTATATAATTTTATTACAATTACCTTAACGCGTTCCCCGAGCACGTTGATGTCTGCCTCAACCAGCGCGTGCTTTTGCAACAGATCCTCTACACCCATAAGATGCTTGCCGTAGTCGTCTGTCAGGAGACGCATCTTGATTTCTTCCATGGAATCCAAGATGTAGAGCATTTCCTATACAAAGAGAGTATTATTGATTATTTTACTTTGTATTATTATAAATATTTATGTATGTTTAGCAACCGACTTCAAAAAGGAGGAGGTTCTCAATTCGACTGTATTTTTTTTTGTTTATCATTTTTTTTAATTTTATAAACATATAAATCGGGCTACTATTATAAATGCCAGTTAGTACGTTTGTGTGCACGTTTGTTACTCCATCACGCTGAAACGGCTGGACGAATTTAGATGAAATTTAGAACAAGGTATGACTAACGTTAGGTACCTATGATGAACGCACCCGAGCAAATCGAGACCAAGTCTCTAGTATTTATATTTTCTAATGGCTGGACCGATATTGATGGTTTTTTTGTGTGTGTTTTAAGTACATACAACTGGACCCAGAAGGTGGCGTTGCAGTCGGGTTCTATGATTTTTGTGAAGACTATGGTAAAGACCATATTCAGGGAGGACAATATCTGTTGAGTGCTCTAGTATGTAATGTATGTATGTACCTGGAAGTTTTGTTGCAATTGTAACGATAGTTCGAGACGAGCACGTCGCGCACGCAGTAACTCCAGCAGATAGGCCCACAGACGCAGAACATTATCGCGGCGGGCACACACGCGCTCCATATCATGGTATCTGTACAAAAAATATATTACCAAAATTACTATATACAAATATACATTTTTTTATTTAAAAAATCGATTTACTTCTTAAATACCGCATCAAAACCCGTTGCGTAGTTTTAAAGACCTAAACATACATAGGGACGACAGACAGACAGCGGGAAGCAACTTTGTTTTATACTATGTAGTGACAAAATATCAAGTGACCTCTCAGCCTGCAGCTCGGAGCACACCGCGACGACCGCCTGTACGCGCTCCTCGTACGCGAAGATGTCAGTCTCTATGGCCTCGTGCTTCTTTGCGGCCGCCTCCACCGCTGCCAGGTCGAAGCCGAAGTTGTCCTGCGACACCAGCCTCTGGTTCTCCGACAGCCACGTCTCACGCATCTGAGCTTTGCGGTTGAATCTGGAAATGTGTTGTTGTTAATCAATTGTTCGATGCGATGTACGTTATGCATACAATCAAAATTATCAAATTAATTTGAATTTTGCAATTTATTTCTTGTATGCGGTGTGTTTTAGCAATGCAAATATTTATATATATTGTTTGTTTGTGCGAATTTTCTTAAAACCCACAGTATTATTTTCATTATTATTCTCTAACATATGATGATGTTCTCCTAGCCGATTCCGGCTACGGCGGCCAATCTCATTGAGATTAGCCAACTCCGCAGGAGATATTATAGTGCTAAAGTGTACGCGCAGACACAACGTGCACTCTCTATTCCTATCACTCTCATACTCCGGTGAGACGACTGCTCGAGACGACCGGTGAGAGTTAAGGCGCAGGACCGACGGCTTTACGTGATCTCCGAGGCACGGGGGTGAAACACCGCCAACTTCCCAACTCCGGGCTGTTACTGAGACTTACTATACAGAAAGATTCAATAACTAAACTTGGCCCAACCCGGGACTCAAACCCAGGACCTCCAGGTGTGCAGCCGTACATGCTAGCCACTACACCACTAAGGCAGTTAACATATAATACCCTATAAAATTCACATGAAACTCTCAAGTAAACTTGAATTTTGCAATTTATTTCTTGTACGCGGTCTGTTTTAGCAATGCACAAAATTCAACATACGCGATCAGAAACCAGTCGCAATGCCATCAGGAGTAACATTTCACAACAACCAATTTCTATTACAATTATCGCGTATAACAACGAACTTATCGTGAGATTGGGGAATGGAACTCATGCTAACCTCGCAGCGAGTTGCTCCAGCTTCTCCTGCCGGATGAGCTCCTCGCGCAGCGCCAGCTCGCGCTCGTGCTCGGCCTTCTCGAGGCGCTCCCAGGCGCGGTTGATGTCGTGTATCATGCGGCCCTCGCGCGGCGTGTACGGCTTCTGGTTGGCCGCGCGCATGCGCGACTGTAGCGTGAACAGAAGAACCTCCAGGTTGCCTTTCTCTACGAACCTGGGTGAGTCAGATTATAGTTAAGACAAACAATTATTATATTACTAGCGAAAAACAAAAACGAATCTGTTCCTCGGGAACCGTATATTTTTCCGGGATAAAAAGTAGCCATGTGTTATTCCAGACTATAATTTATCTCTGTGTCAAATTTCATCCAGATCCGTTCAGCCATTCTGGCGTGAAAGAGTAACTAACATCCATGCATACTCACAAATTTTCACATTTATAATATTTATACGGATGTATGTAATGAGTATATTAGTTTATGTGGAGTTTAATATAAAAAAAAGGTTTTCATTCTTTATAGTGTAACTGAAGATATTCTTCTTCTCCTGGTCCCACGTTATATGGAGTCAGCACAACAAGTTTCATTCTTCCACTTCTCTCTATCAGCCGTTATCTCAAGAGTTACTTTTCATACACATATCCTCTTTCATACAGTTTATCCATACTTTCCTCTTCTACTTCTATATCCATCTACATTCATACTTAATGACCTTTTACTTATATGACTTTCTTTCCTCCTCATGATATGTATTATTCTAGAGATATTATTTAACATTAATTTTTGATAGGAATGGGATGGGGGCAAGGTATAAAGTACATACTTCGATCATCATCATCATCATATTCAGTCTGCTTTCATCAACTGCTGGACATAGGCAACAATTAACAATTATTGTAAATGTAAATGTAGGGTGGACTCAGTTTTCTGCACTTAAACTCTAAGTTGGTCCGTTGTGCGTCCTGAATCCTGGCTAATCTAGCAAAATTAACAATTATTAGTTATCCATATTATAAGAACTTAAATCGATTTTTTTAATAATAAGCTTCCTAAAACTTATAAATGTCTTACTTAGGCGGTTTCTCCACAGTACGATAATTGGCGAATTGTATAAGTTGTTGTCTTACACCTTCGAGAGAGTTCGCGAATGTTCTATCACCCAGAGCTTCGATTGTACGCTCGATCCATTGCAGGAGATCGCTATAATAATGAAATAAAAGTTATAAAAAGACAATTGAGTAAAATCTTACAAAATATTGAGATCAATCTAATTCACTTCATTTTATATCACTTTTATTACTGTAATGGCTTTTTCTCGTGTAACGTAATTTGACATGCCATTTTCACACTTAAAAAAATCTTTTATATCCATGAAACTTTCATTTTACGTTCACATTGAACAAAAGTTATAAAAGTTAATCAAGTCAATCTTTTTTACATTTATGTTTATGAAATAAATTTAGAAATAAAATAAAAAGACAAACATTTGTAAGTTTATCAAACATCAATTTTTTAATTATTAATAGAACTTTATAAATTTTTATTTTATTTTAAAAATATACAAATTACTTGAAAGTTACAAAAAAATTATGCTATATTTTATAGATGTATAGATTATTCGCACTAACCTGGTAAGCGACTCATACTCGTGCACCATCTTCTCATTCTCCATTGCGATGCCGACCACTTTGCCGATCCTCTTGCCCTGCACCGTCTCCTGCTTCATCTTGCTGAAGTAGTGGTAGTATGTCACTACGTACGTGATTATTGACCTCTCGTCGGGATGTTCCACCGCGATATCTGTAAAGGCATGAATTGTTCAAATTATGGGTTTGTTGGTCATATATGTTATTGAGGTGTTAAGTGAACTAAAACTAGTAATGATAAACTAGCAAATCGTCGGCCTCATTCATTAACCTGCTAGTTGATATTTCTGCATTTACAGTCGAAAAAACTGAATATATCATTTTATTTTTAGAAATCAAAATTCTGGTTTCCTTTCTTTGATATTTTCTAACCTTTTTATATTGATATCGTGGCTATTCCTTTAACATAATTTAGGTAATCGTCTGAACTTTTTGACTGGCATTAAAAGTAAAATTGCTCAAAAACGGACTTAGCAGGTTAACGAATTAGGCCGACCGCCGACGAAATGACGAGAGATCACTAGTGAGTGACCATAAATCACTACGTACGTGATTCTTGATCTCTCGACCGGATGTTCCATCGCAATATCTGGTGAGGGATGGATTCTTAAAATCTGAAGTTTTCTTTTCTTTTTAATAAAGGTGTTAAAGTAAATCAAAAATACTTATTAATATTATGAATGCAAATTTTAATATCCTATTATTATTTTTGAATGTTATTAAATTAAAAAAAATGCTGTCATAAAAATATTCGGCACACTAGAGCGTTACATAATACAAACAAATGAAACTGAAAGTAAACATTTCGGTAAAATTTTTAATAAAGCTCATTATGTTATGCCACAATTATAATTTTCCACTCTTTTGACTTTTAATATTAATTACAACAAAGTTTAGTAATATAATTGTGTATCTCTATATGGAAGCTTATGTTTGTTTATACTAAAACTAATTACCATGGCAATTAAGACGAGGTATAATTTAAGATAACATTGTTTCTTACACCTCAATAACTAGAGCATGACCAATATAAACATAGGTAGAAACAATACCCTTAGTTTATGAAACTATAATTGCAATTATATCTTAGATCTAGTTACGATATTATGCAGTGTTTGTCAACAAATTATATTACTTTATAATTTACTAGACTACTACAACAAAAACAAATCTATCCCTCGAGAACCGTTTATTTTTTCGGGATAAAAATAGCCTATGTAAGTATTATTCCAGACTATAATCTATTTCTGTGCCAAATTTCATCCAGATCCGTTCAGCCGTTCTGGCGTGAAAGAGTAAAAAACATCCATACACACTCACAAACTTTCACATTTATAATATTTATAATAATAATACGAATAGTAGTCTTAGTAATTTGTTTTCTGATCACGTCAAATTTCAAAAAACGTTAATTTAAAATGATATCGAGGTTATCAGATTACTAAAGATAAACCTACCTTCGGCATCCAAAAGCTTGGTAAGCCCAAGTTTCTCTTCAGCCACATTGAATGCATTATTAAGATTGTGGATGTGATTGCTTCTATGCAGTTTCTCAAACTGTATGAGGTCAGGCCTGTGTTTGTGTATGATGGCGTTAAACGCCAACCCGTCGCGCCACGATGTCGTGAAATTACGTACATTCACGTTGTTGTAACCGGCCGTTTTCATTTGGCACCATAATAGCAATGCGTCCTTAGCGGACTTTGTCTCTTTATTATCTGTCTCTTCAATGGTGATGTCTTGGATCTAGAAATAAAACGATGTCGTTTTATTATTTGATTATATTCGTGTTATTATATTTGATAAAGAATAGCCTGAACCACCTAACGCCGGGGATTTGATGACATAAATACAAATATAAACAAAGAAGCAGTATGTATATAGAATTTAGGCTTTAATAGCGCGCAAGTAACCAAATGAACTCAATATGTTGTCTTGAAATCTCGGGATGTTATAACAATTTTAATTATAAATATGAATACTAATGTGTTGTTACAAATCATGTGACTACTGACCTGGAAGCGAAGAATGATAGTCCATATGAGACCCAGATTGAGCCTCGCGTTACCATCGACGATATCATGGGAGCCCATGTTCTCGAGGTGTACACGCTGTTCCCGCAGGAACTGTAGGGCTTTGTCTACATTCTCCAGGCAGTGAATACGCATTTTGCCTTTTGTAGGGCGAGGCTGAAAAAAAGTAATTGAATTGTAAATTATAAAAATACTAGCTTACCTAAGTGTCTAACAGTAGCCTATTTGTTACATCAAATCAAAGTCTTTTTGTACTTTTCATCCAAATCCATTCAGTCGTTTCACTGAATACTTATACGACAACAATATTAATTCGGCAACTATATAAAGATGTCATGCTAAAAAGCTATCAGTACAAATCCTATCCATTCGTGAATCCAGTGCTGAATACAAGAAGGACAAACAAAAAAACACCTTCGCATTTATTAATATTACTAAGGATAAATTATTCAAACTTACCAATCTTTCGCCAGACAGTACTTCGAGAAGCTTGATAAGCATCTTGCCGTCTCTCATATCCACATTCAGATCGTTGATGCGGCACCCCACACGCACCAGGTGAGAATTCACCCATTTTTGGAAAGTCTTTTTCTGAACACTTTCTCGTTCGTCTGTAAACAAATCATTTATATTTAGTTGATGCTTATTTCAAATTTAGTTTTTCCCAGGAAATCTAATTTTGCGCTCCATTAACAGAAATTAGGTACAATACACTTAACGAACTAAAATACCAAGAAGTTTCTTAGTAAATTAAACTATGCACTATATATTATAAACTGGCCGAGCTGGTAGCAAGGAGGCTATGATAATAAAATAACTATTATATAATAAGCGAGCATTCCCAATGTATAAAGAAAACAATGAATGTTAACACATTAACCGCCAGTGGGGTAGGCCGGGACGAGGCACCCTCGGAGACTTTGGCCTACACCGTCCGTCCGCGGGCGGGAGTGCCATTGCAATAACTCATAAAGCCTCGGTATTGGTTTCCGAAACTAATATGGGTAATACGAGAGGCAGATCAGGTTTCAATGTAGATATGCTTTAGAGCGGAAATCGAGGTTAGACAAAAGTGCGCCAATAATGTTATTAGTAGTAAAAAAAGGTAATTTGATTGAATGCAGATTCTATTTTCAATTTTACAACTTTTCCAGAGCACAATGCACATTATTTAAAATTTTCTATTTTAACACATTAACTACCAAGATACATAATACCTATATTTCACGACAAGTGTCAGTCTATACACTTCTGTCTGCTCACCGGTTTATTTAAAAAATTCAACACAATAACTCGCCCACTATTAATTATAAATTACTAACAGTCACTTTGCACATTAACAGTCGACAAATGATAATAAATCACATATTTACAGACCTCTAAGCTCACACACGACTTTATCATAGTAAAGTTCTAAGCCAGGCACTTCAATATCGACGCCTCGTCTGATGAGATCGTAACACTCCGTCGATGTCATATCACCAGCACTGATTGACTGAAGCGTTAGACGAAAGAACGGGAAGAATTAGAGCGACAAAATTCAACCAGTAACTGGACAAGGATATTCGATACGCACGTTCCAGATGTCGTCAACACTCGGTGCGAATTATTGAACTTATAATATTGCGAATGTTATTATTTTTTATTTGATGTAATCTTGTTTTTTACTCTTAGCTGTAGACTCTTCTAATCAACATAGAGTAACAGCAGAAACTTTTGAGTAACATCATTGATTATTACAACTGTATTTCAAAATGATTGCAATAGTGGAGAGATACTGAACGCTCACTAGAATCATATCAGATAACTCGCATGTTATTGATAAAAGAATAAAATTATTTGACTTTACACGTCCATTGAAGAAATATTGCCAAATGTTTTTCATCTCTACATTGCAGGGAAAACGGAAACAGTGGCTATTGCAAAGTGATGATAAGCCCTATAAAACTACACGTAAATATAATTATAGCTCAACAAGCTTTTATTTTCCTCAACAGTATAATTGTTATGACATGCTTGCTTATATTTTAAGCCCATAATTAGTATATTTTTGTATTTTTGAAACGAATATTTCATTTTATAAATCATATAAAATAAAAGTAAACAATTTACAGCAATCATGGAATAACTGCGTTATCGTCTACCTATATTCTTGTGTCCGTAACGTTATCACTGTATCAACTTATCCTTATCAATGAGGATAACCTATGTAATGTAAATAACAAAATATAATTAAAATACATTCCTTTAGAATTCACTAATAAATAGATGTAATTAAAATTTAATTTTAAATGTTTTAAATTTTAACCTAATTTAAAAATGTGCAACCTTCAGGGTTCACCACTGGTCACAGTAAAATTAGTATGACACTTCAAATCTGGTACACAAAAAATCTAAATTTAAATTCTGTATTGAATATTTCGTCTAGACTTTTTGCGTGTGGATATTTTTACTGATAGAACTATTGAGATAAATATATTTGCTAGAGCGAAAATTTCTTATAAAAAATGTGCCACAATTTAACGTGGCATGGAAAAAGGTAACGGTCCTTAACATATGAAAGGGTATTTAAGTATTCTGCATTCATGATCGGGCTCTTAGACTCGGCAGATTACAAAAGCTGCTAAACCCTCTCTCCGTAGAGCCTTTAATGCACTATTATAGCGTCTAATCGGTATGAAGCAATGCTTTGGTATACAAGATTTGTAATTATATTGGTTAAATACCTGGAAAGTTAAAAGCAAACTATCAATTTAATCTATAATCACAAGAATAATTAATTTATGTGGACAATAAAACATAAAAAGTATTTCAACAGAATTTTCACAAGAAAATGTATTCGAATAATTTAACTAATAAATTCCAACTATAAACAATGTAGCTTGGCATTTAAAAACCCAGTGCAACAATTCGATGACGATTTCTTTAAACCGTTAGCTTACTTCCTACGGTCGGCGTTTCCGTGATAGTTATCTAGGGCGGTAGGCTATACCCTATAGATATAACGAATTATCTACTGTATCAACACTTTGTAATATAGCAATAGTTTTACCAACGTCCTATTTTAACACCCTATTTATAAGACATGACAATTTCTAAGTATAAGTAGTGAAATGTTCGTGAGAAGTAATATTTTACTAGCCTAATTTACTTAAATCTTGATGTCTATGTTGTTCGGCAAAATATTAACAAATTAAATTACCTGCAAGCGCTTTGATGCGCGATCGTTCGAAAAGCCTTGAGGAGGAGTTGCCGCCATCGTACTCGATCTCGTCGATGATCTCTTGCCCATGGCCGATGGACGGGTCCCAGCGGGACACCGATATGTCGGTCGTCATTGCGACCTACTGCACCTCACCGCGCCACGCTCAAATATCTGAAACAAAGGTGTTGTTATAATAATACTTCTATCTCTTTGAAAAAAAGAAATATATAAAATTCCATAATGATAATAAACATTCATTCAATTTTAAAATATTTAGCTATCTGTAACCCACTTATTTATTTATTTAGTCCCACTACCATAGTTTCTATAGAAGTATTCTCACGAAAAGTGGTTATGTGTGGTAATGTCAACAAAACGATTACTAAATAAATTTCACCTTGAATGCTCGCTGTATTAACAAACGCGCTAACGAAACAAAACACATGCGCAGTCACGCAGTATCTGCTTTTCGGTGAACAAAATTACACTAAACTAGTACACATTACAATATCCTTTCAATAATTTTCATAAAGACTACTATTTTCCAGAACACGACCCGGCTTTCAATTGTATTGTATATTTCTACTCTTATTGTTGTCGATGATGTCATCGAACGATAAGATTAGATATCGCTTATTGTAGAGCATACCACTATCAACGGTGCCTAATTTGTATAGGCTTAAGCATAATTTAGTAGTACTTGAGAAAATCTAACAGAAAAATAAAAGAAAATACTTTAAAAAATATATTTTAACTTCTGTTTGACATGTTGAAGTAAAGAACAATTTTTATTTTTAACACCTCCAGGTAAATTTCTAAGAAATTATTACTAAGAAATCTATTGTTAACTATAACACTGGCGTGTCCGCGGTCGTGGAGAACTTATAATTTTGTCTACAAAGAATAGTTATGCAGTAAATCAAAATCGTAAAAGAAACGCATTCATATATCACAGTCACTGATTGACGGTATTCAATAGTGAATTCATTTAGAGAGGTTCAGTTAATTGGTTTGAGCTGTCCTCAATATATACTCGGCCTCTCGAGGCTTGAACTGTACGTGCAATTTGTTTTAATTATAGTTTCAACATAAGAATCTTTGTTTAAAAGCTCATTCACTGAACTAATTATGGTTTTACTGAGAAGAAATAATTAGATAAAAAAGCACTAAGTACTTAAAACAAAAATAATAAATAATGCATTGCGAAACAACTAAATGAATCTGCATATAAAAACGCGCGGATAAACGGATACCTAAGAGACGGAAAGTGATGTAACCCACAAATATATTAAAATACATTTTTTACATAAGCAGTATCTATTTATAAAGTTTTGCGCGTCTTTAATAACGGAAGGTTTTAATTTTCATAATGAACATCAAAGAAGGTCATATTTTCTATTTTTTATATTTCTTAATTTTCAAATACGATATTGTTCTTAAAATAGACAAATATCATAAAAATCTCGCTCTACTGGTATCTCTTACTAGATTACGGTATTCTTACGATATTATTACATATCCATGACCTATATATAGGTCAAAGGCGTTATATTACGCAGACAAATTATAAAGTTATTAAGACTTATTATTTGTTTTTGTGAAATGTAACTTTAGTAGTTAGTTTTTGTATTCCATTAAACGTTTAACGATATTAATTTCGGCTATTTTATTTAACATAGTATTGTGGATTTAAGCCACACCCTCTAATTTTGTCTGCTCACCTTTGCGACCTTCCCGTACAATACACAAACTTTGCAAGAAGGTCACTATATTCGCTGAGCCGGATAAATTAAATTACAGAATCTTTATCAAATTTAAAATCTTTAATGTATTGAATAAATTATTATATATGTCTATAATAAACAAGATACCTACATTATTAATAGAGATGACTCAATGTATGCTAAATAATACCTTGTTGACTCACTAAGGTTGTTTTGCTAAAAGACGTATAAAATAATTAAAATACAATGAACAATAAAAAATACCTTGTGAGAAAATATCACACGCCGATATTATGATAGTTTCAAATAATGAATTTCCCACTCAATCTCCGTTTGCATAATAATATAAATTATAAAAGTTTCAAAATTTACAATTACCAGAAAATATTACAATATAGTCATATAAGCCAGCAAATCCTTATTACCTAGCGACTCACCCTCGCTTTGGTTCGTCCCTACATACATTTTAACGTTTAGTAAAGATTTCTCAGAGATGAGATATTTTCACTGTGAATAGAAAGTATCTTAAATGTATGTAGACCCGGATAACCAGCTATCATCGTACCAAATTTTCTTAAAATCCCTCCAGTGGTTTTTCCGTGACACGGTCACAGACAAATAGACAAAAATTGTAAAAACTATAGATTCGGCCTCTTTATCGATAATAATGTCTATTGTCTATGTCAATAAGATTTTCCAAAAAAAAATATGTAGAGATTCGGCTTAGTTAGGTACAATTTTATTATATGTACGTATAAGTTATATGTATGTACTTATATACAATTTTATTATGTATATATAGACAATCCTTCAAGTTACACTTATGTCATAATTTGCTCTGAAAATCTTTATTACAGCATAATACCTTAAAAATTAAAATCAAACTATTTTATTCGATCTAAAATTAAGTTTAAAAAAACCATCACTCCCAAGGGATAGTTTTGAATATAATGTAAAATTCAATAAGGCGGCTTTTGTAGTGTAGAATTAACTTATTAATGTGCACCATAGAGCATAGACTATTAATATAAAATAATATTTTATAACTAAATAATTTATGAGAAACCAGTTGCAGAGCTTATTCAAATATTATTCATAATATTATGTCTGATGACACAATTTTATATCATAATAAGACATCACACAGACACAAACAGACAATATAAGGAGCACAATTCCATTGTATATGAATACTAGTTTAATTAGATATTTCTTTCAATTGATATAGGTCAATGATAGGTCGAAAATGTGAAGGGACGATATTTGACACAGTTCGCTCAAATATAATAAAATAGAAGACACTAACTGATAAAATCTAAGATATTCTAGAGCTCATAGTTAATATGAAGTCTAATATAGACAGTAGTGTGCATAATTATGTAACATATACATAAGTAGATAATACAAAACAATGTTAAAACTTAAAACAGTCATAAACCGCTTTACATGCGCACAAGTAGAATTAAACGTCTCGTAATTTGTCTTTGTCGAGAAACGAATGTCGGACAAAGCGAGCGTAGCCAATAGACACAGGACGTTGACCTGTTGAAGGCAGACATGGCGGCGATACACCATGGGGCATGGACTACTATTAAAAAGCCACCATGCATAGTACGATGTACCCCACGGGTGTTTGAAGTTAGCAACTCTTTATTTCAGTAGAAAGTAAATAAGGGTTATATAGATATAACAAATGAAAATACAAAGTGCGAATTGATTAAAAATTCAAATTGTTGTAATTTGAAATAATACATGTAGGTACATACTATGACGATGATTATTAATTATATTATTGATTTAATATTTTTCTTTTCAATTTTATGGCATACTAGCGACACACCCTCGCTCCGCACGGGTTCGTCCCTAGTTATGTTTTAACGTTTAGTATACATATCTCCGAGATGAGATACTTTTTCCGCAGAAAAAAGTATCCTATAGGTATGTTTACCCGGATAACCAGCTATCATCATACCAAAAATTCATCAAAATCTGTCCAGTGGTTTTCTCGTGATGCTTTGCCAGACAGATAGACAGACAAAAATTCTAAAAACTATATACTACTATATCAATAATAATGACTATTTCAATAAGATTTTCCAAAAAATATTTAATGTACAGATTAATATAGTAAGTATAGATAAGTATAGATTTAACCAATAGTACTAATATATCCTGCTATTGCAGCTCCAAATAGTCTTTTGAAGTTTTCACAATCCTATAATATGTAGGTACTTATTTATTGCGTTAACCTTCCTGGAAATCTCCGTTAGAGCGGATATAAATTATGTATAGCGTCTTTTCTTGAAAACACAAACCGTATATCACTATGTAACATTTATTATTTTCAATAAGAAAGTTTTTACTGTTTGCCTTTAATTACTCCAACACAACTACCTATTCATTTTTATGTTATTTTATTTTTTGAAGTAGCCGTTGGTCTTATAAAGGTTTCCGTAGTTTAAAATAGCTTATGAGGCCAGTGGTATTGGCATCTTTGTTTCTATTTATGTCCAGCGTTATTTCTCACAACCAATAAACTTACTTATTATACAACATTTAGTTTTATTACGAATAATTTTGATATAAAATCATAATACATATTTATTTCCACTGAATACAATGATTATTTTGTAGATTTTTATACGATTTTCGACGTTAATTAGATAAAATTGCGTTTATATCTTCCTTAGAAAGTATTTGCCCATCAACTACAAAAACAATAACGTGACATTACTCGTTGCTATTATGCATTTTGACCCGTTCATTTAAAACTGCAGGAAGCAGTGCGATTTTAATCACTGGTACCCCATAAGGAGGTAAGGGGGATATTATTAAGCTCTTTATTACAATGGGGTAAAGTATATTTTTACACAGCGATTTATAGTAACTGTTCCTGCGGATGTAGAGCCTAGTTATTTACGGTTCGTCACAGTACGCCGCGTGCCTGCCACTAACAGCCTAACCGCTTCTGCCATCTGCATTTTAACCGCAGTCCAATCTATGTTTTGTTTGTTTTTTTAATCAACTATCGGGCATTATTCAGAAACTAAAGCTAAAGAGGAATTGTACAATGTCAGTCGTTGGCACTTCCGCTATTGTCTCAAGATCATTGTTTTTAAAATATTAGAAAATAATATTTTTTGATTTTATTTATATAAAATTTCCATATAACAATGTTAATTTATTTATATGCAATATTGTGTGACGCGTATTAATTAACAAAGAATAGGTGTCGCAGATTGGACTTTAATATACACAAAATCTTAAATATGGATGCAGTTAGTGGAAATACCTACATATAAAAAAATATTCATGCGTATAGAAAGAGGCTGAGTGAAGTAAATTTCTGTGATATCCAACGTCAAACGAATGTTGACATCAGTAAGCGATAAATATAGAATTCTTAGCA